TTTATGTAGTTATATAAATTATGTTATATGTTATATGCATTTATTTCAAATAAACGTATTATACCATACTCAGTAAGTAAGCAGAAGGTTTAGAATCACATATTCCCCAAACTCTCTTCTTAAAGTTTCTAGGGCAACATTCATATAAAATATTGAACCCTTACACGGTGTGGGGGAGGCATGGTATTTTCCTGGGTCTTTACAAGTACAGCCTTTTATTACATGAATAATTATTATTAACAGTTAAGCGTCGGCTGTGAATGTGTGGTCTGTCGCTGTCGCTACATAAAGCTTATGAAGAGTTTATTTAAACTCGCTAATCTCAGAAACTTGTTATGTCAGATAGTCCATTTATCAAGGAAAGCTATAAAATACCACGCTTCGGTTAATAGGAGCTGAGCAGCGGTGAAACTGCGCGGGCGTAACTAGTATCATGTGATTTTTTTATCAATTGATGTGTGTTTTGAATTACAGACTTACTCTTTAGTAAGTTAGTAGGTACCTATTTAAAATGGTGGATATGTGAATGGCATCTGACGGAGATAAGTTAAACGTGGTAATATTACGGGTGCAGCAATGAGTAGGTAGTTGCAGACATCGCAGATGCTCCGTCATTAGTACAGGTAACGTTGTAGACAATGGTTTGAAACAAAAGAAGAATTGTTTTAACCCTTACTTAATGCATACAATACTCAAGTATTGTGTGCCTGTACATGGAAGTAGGAGAGCATCCAAACGCAGGATTAGCAACCGCCCGAGCTTCTTTGTTAACTTCAAAATTAACTGCCATCTTTCGATATTCTGTATAATATTCATAAAACCATTGACTAAAACAATGACGTATATAACTTCACCTCATCTCTTAAAAACTGACACCTTTCTTTTTCAGAAGTGTCGGTAATATATAATATACACTAACTATAGCTTCTGCCAGCCCACCTGCGCCGCTCAGCAACTTTTAAAATTATAGGAGCGACTCGTGCATTTGTTAATTTTTTTCGTTAAGGATTTAATATCACTACAATCTAATAGCCGGAGTCGATCTGATGATAGAGCCAGCAGAACCAGTCCAGGGAACTCCTCGAAGATTTACACCTGTGATCCCGTGTTTGGGTTTAAATGATTTACCATAAGTAAGAACAGAACAGAAACGCTTTACCTATTATGGACAAATATATCAATGATACAACTTCCTATTCTACCATCCTAGGGCACAATTCCAGAATTTGCTTCCTTTTTTTGAAGTTAATCCGAAACCTATTTTTACCGACTTCAAAAAACGGAGGAGGTAGAATGTTCGGCTGATTGATGGTCTCATTTCCATGAGGTCAGGTTGGCGATGACGATGGAATCCTAGGGAAACCGAGGGGAACTTTCGAAACTTGTAGGGGCGAATAATGCGTCTATTATATTTTTCAATTAGTATTTTTAAACACTTTAATTTGATAAGGGTCTGGAGTCGACCTGATGATGGAGCCGACTCAAGGGAACTCCTCAACGGTTTATATTAACTACCTTGTGTTTAGGCTTGATTAATTTGTATTTATGAGAACTTTACACCTAGATGGAGTGGGACTGTCATTAAGGGTGTGATGATAATGAAGTGTAATTGTTAAGGGAACTCCTCAACGGTATACAGTAACTACCTTGTGTTTGGGATTGTATAATTTGTCGTGATTAGAACTTTTCACCTATACGGATTATTAGTGGCAAAACGGATATACGTAACTTTAAAGTAAAAATTATAAAATAAAAACTGCGTATAAGAAACCGACTTCAAAAAACGAATAACAAACAAAAAGTAAAAACTAAAAAGCAAAAAATAACTATTATTAGTTCTGATAGGTTACCCACCCCACCCACTTATAGGTTAGAAGTCGGCGCCATAAGCTCATATCATTATGATATTCAATATAATGATATCTTCAGGGCCACAAAATTATAAATTAGGAATCTATTAAGGTTTTTATGAATAATTTTGTATAGAACTTATGGCACCGACTTCGAACCTATCAGTACTATATAAGATTATTTGATTTCATATAGTTCGCAGGGATATGATAATTCGGGATTTGGCCAAATCCCTAAGGAATTTCATCAAATCACGGAGGATGGCATAATAATAACACGATTTTATCATTTCCCTAAGCAAATCTGGTGATTTGACAAATGCCATTAAAACCATAATTTTTTTCCCTTTCAAAAATAGGTAGGCTTATATAACCGGGAACAAGTGTGGTGATTGAATCTGATTTTTACTTTGTGGTAAAACAAAACTTTCCTTAATAGTGGACACTTAAATTTAAATTACGATCACAAACGGATAATACCTCTATATATAAATTGGTAGGTATAGCTCCCGTTATATTATTATGTAGCTTCGATTTAATCAAGTATATTATAGCTAGGTCTGTGACAGCCTCTAAGTACCTATATGGAATCTTTAGACGTGAAGGTATTACTCATTAGAGTTCAAAATGTGTTTAGTTAATTAAATGAAACACTATAATAGCACCTACTTACCTAATGATTATTACCTTTAATATCTCTCCATTTGCTCCGAAACTAATTGAAAATGGTAGCTACAATTAGGAATATTGATACTAAACTTGTAGATACAACCCTTCTACTTGTACCATGTTTGTTTAACCTACTAGTTATTCTCCCTGGGATTCTATACTTTGGAATTAACAATTAGGTAACTTTACCTACATAAGTAACGAATGATATCGAATAATAGTATTGGGAATCTTTAAAGGTAGAAGAAAATTTAGCTTGGTATTTCTATACCAAGCTAAATTTGTCAAATGCATAACCGTGCTATTTTTTTCGTTCGAGATTCGTCAGACTGGCAATACGCTTGTCCTGGCAACTATACTGGCAAATAGCTGGCAAATAGTTCTTTGTTAGTTTGTTAATTTAAGGTTAAATAACTTTGTCACAATTCTCTAGTCATACTAATTCCAATTTTCTTAAAGTTTGTCGTTGTATTTTTCTTCTTAAAACATAAGTTTCTATCTGTTTTCTAATAATAGAACATACATCGATATGACGATATGGGTAGAAAGGTCGTATAAACCAAAACCCAACTTTTCAGGAGAACAGAGAAACGGAGATTAGCGCGGTCAATAAACAAGCAAACTCTTCAGCTTTTTACAGGGAGTCTGGCGCAAGGACTTACGCAATTCTCTGAAACAACTGGTCCGAATAGGGTAGTTTCCTAAATTTCATTCTGGTAGATATGTATTTTTTCTTTTCTTACAAAATTAAATACTTGCAACGATATATTAATTTGAAATATCGTGTGACGTCACAGCGTGCCACATTTTGTAGCACGTTGTAATGTAACAAGCTCCCACTCCTAAACTTAGCGCCATTTTATCTAAGTATTGCTACTTAATACAAGAAAATAAAAAAAAACCTGTCTAATATTTTTGCATTATCTAACTGACGGACTAATTCGATTTTTAATTTTGATACCCTGGAAACTACAAAATTGAATAATTACTTTTGTGCTGGATGGTCCATTTGTCGAGGAAGACAATAGGCTATAAAACATCACGCTACGATCAATAGAAGCCGAACAGAGCGGGGCAAAACCGCTCGAGAGTTATACGAAAAATGGCACAGACAATGGTTATAAAACAACAGCATGGATAAAAATCACGGTTAACATAAAGGTTATACTTTTGGAATATAATAGAGCCTTTAAATATTTTGCTGTATTATTTTATATGAAATTAAAATACTATATATAATAATAGCCACATTTTAATTTCTTTTCGTTATCATCGTGGCAGAACCAAAATTTTATTTATTTATTTTAGTTATACCTCTATATGCTTTATTGTAGGTACACATTTAAGTAGCTTAAAACAAACAATTCAAGTAAATATGCGTACAATGGGCGGGCGGTCTTATCACACAATGGTGATTTCTTCCAGACAACCTTTAGATGGAAATATTTATAAGAAACCAGATAAGGGGTAGTTAAGTGTACAATAAAAAATAAAAAAGGCAAAATAAAAATACCTACAATACAACCTACAATAGATATAATATACTAGCAATATATAAAAAAGAAATACATACATAATATATAAAAATACAATGTAATAAAATGCAATACAAAATTGTATGCTATACAATATGAACCTTATTTTCAGAACTGTACGAGTTGTCTTATTAAATGGTTTATACACCAATCGCGACTTGCCATTGGATTTAAGACGTAGAATTTGAACATGTTTAGGTATTGCATTTAAAACGTTAAACCATTTACAATGAACAAATATTTTTACGCCCTGAGTTCATGTAGATTATAGCTATTAAATCATAACAAAACCACAAAAAAAATAATTCGGCTATTACTCAAAAATTTAGCTTTTAAGAGGCTAAGACCGACAATTTTTGGTCGTATAAACCACTTATTTGCGAATTTCTACATTTCGAATATACAGATCGATAAAGAAAAATCTAAGGAAAATGGTATATTATACCTATAACTCAATTTCGCCAAAATGGTTTATACGACCTTTCTACCCAAAGGCATCGTCATTATGACGTACTGAAATTGAAATAATGACTTTAGTAATGTAGAATTAAGAATCCAGGTAACTAGTCACTGGAAACAAATAACCCTGTAGACCATAAATAAGAACAAAGTCTATTGTCTTATTGTCATAAGACAATAGTCATCTTGAGCTTACATTCGGAAGCAATACGTAGGTACACTAAATGATAATTACTTTCTATTCAAAATGGGATTTATTTTCGCCGGGTACCTGGCTTAGTCGTTCGTGGTGTTTATATGACTTCCATTGTAATCACTACTTTTGCAAGTTTCTTTATTCCGTCCAGTCAGGCGTAGTTCAGTATATTCCGTGTGTTCATTACGAACAGAGCTCCCCAGAGCAAAATCAGAATTATTGAAAAAGCAGTGCAAGTAATAATCGCCGCTGTCGCTTCCGGCCCTGAAAGGAATGCGAGCTCGATCCCCGATGGCAGCCCCGGTTCCAGCCCCTTCTACAGCTTCAGCTTCACCCGCGGCTCTGACTCCAGCTTCAAGCGAAGAATCAAATAAGATTGAAAAGCATGTAGAAACTCAAGGTAAGCAAGATTTAAAGTTATTATCTGTTGAAGGTGCTATCTGTGCTTATCAGCGTTTATCTGAGGGCAAGGCGGTTCCAAGACGAGCACAAAGCAAACCATTCCTTACCATCCCTTTACCGGAACCATTTCAGCGCATTTTCAAGCCCCTATTTAAAAACCTCTGGATAGGATGATGAAATTACGTAGCTAGTGTAATAAGAAAAAATTAAATGGATCCTGATGGACATTTAGGGTATGAGGAGTACGGTATACCTAACCATCCTTTGTAATTTTATAAATAACAGGAGTAAAATATCGAAACCGGTAGATGAATAGTTGAACACATTGTATCTAAACTGAGCTATAAACATAAAATTCTTATAATTTTTTTATTAGATTCTACAATGAACTGCGCCAACCCCACTGGAGAAGGTTCCAGCAGTATGGTCGAAAGTCCCAGCAGGATGGTCGGAGGTTCCAGCGGGAAGGTTGAAGGTCCCAGCAGGATAGTTAAAGGTCCCAGCAAGGTGAATAAAGGTTCCAGCAGGATGGTCCCAAAGGACAATAAAAAATCGAAAATGAATGGTGCCAACGCACCAGAGACTGATGAGGTTGGTATACGACTATGTGATATTGTTATTTTTTGATATTTTTCCATACTAGTAACAACCATATGTGTTGACGATACAGTAGACAACTCTTACATTATCAACATATATACACGTACAAGTGCTTTCGACACTACAGTACACAACATTCTTATGACAATAATAACTTCTTGATATCACAACTAACTAACGAATGTTATTTTTACTATAAAAACGTAATGCGTTCCTATATTTTCAGATATGTAAAAGCATGAAGAAGATTCGGTTATCTCGGCGACGTAAGACCAGCTCCTTATCGATAAATGACAAGAAAGAAATTTTTTGCAACTTTTTGGAAACTTGTGTAAGAGCGTTGGATATGTTGTGCAACAGTAAGGCACGCAAGGAGTCGTCGTCGTCGGAGCCACAGGACGATCATGGTAATAAACATGTAGTGAACACTGAAGCCAACCGGCCTCGCCCCAGCCGCCGCCACAGAGAATCGGACGACGAAGATGCTGAAAGAAGTAACGACAGAAATAAGCGGATACGAAATTTGAACCTATCAAACACTAACGGAAATAACAATTACTTCGTTCAAATAGTAGATAGTACACCACAAGAAGAATGGGTAATTTTGTACTTTGGTACTTATACTTCGTTTAGAGTGTGAGAGTAGTCTTGGGACGTTTAGTAACAAACGTTTTCGAGATGGAATTCAATTTCAAATCATTTAATTAATTAGACCAGAATAAATCATTTTTAAACACCTTCAAATTTAAAAAAAAAAAAAAAGTGTCATTCGTCGGTCAGTTAAGACATTTGTTCGTTCTAAAGTGTAGATTCCTATGAATATGAAGGCTATAAATATTGTTATTGGTCCACCGTTAACCTCACTCGCACGCAAGAAACATCGCAAGCGTTGCTTCACGTCGGCGTTCTGTGAGGCCGTGGTTATCACTCCGGTCGAACCGGCCCGTCCGTGCCGAAGCATGGCTCTTTTATGCTCATATGCAATTCGATGCAATTATTTTGAAAAAAAAGGATTGATATTAGAAATGAAACTGAATGACATTATTATTTTCAGGTTGGTATTGGTACCGGACAAACGCTGCTGCATAGAGATAAATTTGTAAAATTAAAATGGGACTCTTACAGTGCTGCCACAAGGAGTCTTCTAGTCGCAGTCTTTGGTAAAGAGTAAGTAAAGCAAATGCCATAAATTATAATATTAAGGTCAGGTCAACAGGTCCCTATTGGTATCTACCACTGACTTTTAACATAACATCACGCCTTTTATCCCGAAGGGGTAGGCAGAGGTGTACATTATGCCACTGTACAATGTAACACCCACTTATCACTATTTATGTTATTGTCCCATGTAATAGGGGGTGAGCCTATTGCCATACACCGGGCACAATTCCAGACTCCGTGTTACTACTGTAATTTTTTTTGAAAAACCCATGAACACTTTGCCCGACCTGGGAATCGAACCCGAGACCCCTTGCCCGGCAGTCGCACTTGTAGTATAAATCTAATAACTCTATACAAAGGTTAGATTGAGTCGAGCAGGTTTCTTTTTTGGTTTTCATTAGTTAGACTGCTTCAACAAGTCAATTGTTATTTGATGTAATATGTTCTACCTCTACTTGCTGGGCCTCTTCTTACTCACAATTCGTCGAGGCGAATAATTGATGATTGTAAATTGTAAGGCCACGTTACCTCAAGACGTTTTCTTCACCGTACGTCAATGATGTCTACATAATAAACTTCAGAAATTTTATTTAGGTACATAACTTAGAAAGTCACATTATGCTTATGCTCGAGAAGTGCACACCTTAACCTCCGGGCCACCATCCACCGTGACATTTTCTGCTACCTATGCATTTAAATGTTGTAGGTACTGTTTTTCAGTTTGTCTGCTTAAAAGCTTTGATACATTTACTGTATAGTTAACTTTACATTACAACAGATAAATCAAAGTTCTTTTATTTACAGGACTTTGGCAACGCATTCGTTAACTGGAAAGAAATCACCGATATATCCAGATAGGCCGCCTAAAGAATGTCTTGACCCCACGAAGGTCAATGACATTATAGTTGAAGTTACGAATAATTTTGCAGTGACAGAAAAATCAATAAAGTAAGTACCTAGCACTCCAATCAATCAAATTCAATGTCTTATGTAGTTAGTAATAACACAATATTGGGTACTGTTTGTACCGTATACCGAATGCTTGATAGATTCCGCAGCTTTTATAACAGATACTATATTCATGCACCTGAATATAGTGCAAATAATATAGATAAGTTAGACAGCGTAAATATCCTTGAATTCTATAATTGGTCAATTCTATCAGAAAAATCCACTTACAGTTTTTTCCTGATACTAAACCCCTACGACCTTAAGTAGTTTAGTAATAATAGGGTACGTTTAAAACTAATTTTATTTTTACAGAAATATAATAACAACAAAGTGCGCCGACGAATGTAAGATGGAGAGAATGCGTATTCAGAAGGCCGAAAACGAGCGAAATTAAGTTATCATGTTAGCCTCGGACATGGAAGAACAAGACGTCGTTTTTAGAACATTATTTTGATTTGATTTTTCATACTTTTAAATATGTGATATATATGTATAAGTGTGGGCGTGGGAGAGCCATGCTTTGGCTAAAATGGGCTCGACGGATTGTTACCACCGCCTCACAGGAAACCGACGTGAAACAACGTGCGTTGTGTTTCGTGTGAGTGAGGTTACCGGAGGCCTAACTACCTCCTTAACCCCAAAAACCGGTAACGTACTTGTAACGCCTCTGGTGTTCCAGGTGCATTTGACATTTTAAGATATATTGTTTTTTTTATTACGCAAGCAGTAGGTATAGATAGGTTTCTCTTCTAGTTTTTTAATAATTTTTCATACTTTTAAATATTTTTCATTTTAGAGATGTTGATTTTTTTGTATTACGCAACCGTTAGGAATAGAATTCTTCTAGTTTCTTCTAGTTTCTAAAAGATTTTTTTTACTTTTAAATATTTTGACATTTCAAAGATAGATAGGTTGAGTTTTTTTTTATTACGTTTCATTAAGTATATAAATCTCTTCTAGTAAAAGGTTTTTTTATACTTTTAGATGTTTTCACTTTTTAAAGATACATAATATGTTGTTTTTGTTATTTTTTTTATCACGCAAGCATTAGGAATAGTATTTTCTTCTAGTTTGTTAAAGATTGTATATACTTTTAAATATTTTGACATTTTAGAGAATGTAGATTTTTTTATTACGCAATCATTAGAAATAGGATGATCTTTTGTATCGATTTTGCGCTTATAAACACAATTTTATCTAGATATCAGTACCAAGACCCGAAACAACAATTTGTGAATCAGACTAAGAATTGTTCTGCTTGTCACCACGTCACTGCACCAACTGTGTTGTCGTGTGGAAATTGAGATCCAGAATCATTTAAATTTGTGAAAACCCCGTAACACTCGGGTTTTCTTACTCTCTAGAAAAAATCTATAAAAATGAAGTTTATACTAATAGGTGCAAAATTAATTTAATCCAAACTAAAATAATTTAATTTGAATAACTAAATATTAACTGTGATTAATATACTTTCCTACTTGCAATATTTAATTAATGTTAAATATGTATAAGAGTAGGTATTAATATAATTAATATTAATATTATATAGTTTTATTAATGAAGTTGTGTAAGAATAATGTTTATACAATAATTTTATATGAAGTTTTGACTATTTAAACTATTAAAAGAAAATTGTTATGTCCGTGAACACAATGGTGGCTAACTTAAGTTTGTTTGTCTTTTTTTGTATAGAATCAATAAATTAGGTTAATTGTAAGTTAAAGTAAGTAGATCGTAAGGAACTGTATACAGAGGCCTCAATACGAGTTTGTTTTATGTTTAAAGTAATCGAATAAGACCGTGTTCGACGCTCTGATTGGCCGGCTCTGAGGAACCAGCCAATCAGAGCGCCCAAAACGGTCTCGTTTCGATAACTTTAAACGTAAAATAAAATCGTACTAAGGCTTCTGGTGTTGGCGTCCAAGGACGGCGCTGATACCTTACCATCAGGTTCCTATTTCATAATAAAATATGTCAATACATTAGTAATTGTAGTAGTAGAAACAAATATAAAAAAAACACAAAATTAGTATAAAATCAAAAAAAATAAAAAAAATCATAAAAAAATGAAAAAAATGCGTGCTTGTCAACTTAATTAATTTAAGTCATAAGTTAGGTCTTTAGATAATAATAATAATATTAAGCTTGAATAAAACAACAAATAAAATTATAAAAATATGAATCTACCTTTGTTATTTTTTCATTGCATTTTCTAATCCTGGAGCACAGAAATCTTTATTACTTATATCTGTGTCGTGTACCTACCTATAAATAGTAGAACCTAGCAACCTAGGTTTGTGCCAACAAACTATTAAAGTTACACGTAATTTCAACATGTTACGTGTAACAAAGAGTGAAGTAGGTACTACCATAACCTTGTAAATACCTAGGTAGGTATAGTTCTTTTATCTCACGAGCGCAGGTGAGCCATAGTTGTAGTTGTAGTCCGTATAGACACGCGCGCTTGTGTGCGTAACTCGCAGCAAGTTCATTCATTGGTATGCCGGCCGAAACTGGGCGTTTCCGAGCGTATGCAAACAAAGACAATGTGCGTGTACATTTACCCACACAAGTATGGCGCAACCGCACATCACACATCAACAGCCTATATAAATGCCCACTGCTGAGCAGAACCTCTTCTCACTCGAGAAGGTTTGAGCATTAATCACCACGCTTGTTCAATGCGGGTTGGCGATTTCAAACTTATAAGTAATAGGTAATATGAAATTATAAGCCCCGAGCGTACGGCGCGTCGCGTTCCGCGCGCGCCTCAAGAAGCCATCAGACCACCACAGATGGGGCCTAACAAGGCTGATGCCGATACGGAGCCGCGGAAGACTTAACGGGTTGCCGGGGCTCCGTTTCGAAGTGCAGGTGTAGGAACGGGGTGGTTTTTAGTCAGTAAGAGTCTGACACTCCCTCCCGCCTCACCCAGGCGGGAGAAGTCATTGGATGATTTTCCCCCCTCAAAAAAAAAAGGTGTCCTAACGATGTTTTCCTTCACCGTTTGTCAGTGGTGTCTGAATAATCTTAGAAAGTACATATAACTCGGAAAAAATCACATTGGTACTTGCCGTTGGTAAGTTTCGAACCTGCACCCTCATGCATGAGAAGTGGGCGTCTTAAACCTCCGGGCCACCGCGACACGACAACTGCGCATCGTAAGATTAAACAATCTAACGTGTCTGATCCACATCCATCTCATGAGTCATTTGATATATCGTACCGAAAATTCCCAAAATTTGTTCATACAAAAGTAGGCTCTAAACATCGGCGCTTGGGGTTTGCTGAATATTGAGGAACAACTTAATGTGAACTAGCGACCCGCCCCGTCTTCGCACGGGTGCAATATGCATGTATTATACATAAAAACCTTCCCTATTAATCACACTATCTATTAAAAAAACCTGTATCAAAATCCGTCGCGTAATTTTAAAGATATAAGCATACATAGGGACAGACAGACGGCGGACACCGACTTTGTTTTATACTATGTAGTGATATCAATCAATATCCTCACGCCTTTTATTCTCGAAGGAGTAGGCAGAGGTGCAGATTACGGCTTTTAATGCCATTGTACAATGTGGTTTTACAGTTTACAGTTTCTTTTTTCAGTGCGCTGAACGCGTACTAGTTTCAATTTACTTTAAATGAAAAATAAACTCGTACTAACGCCTCAGAGCACCGAATGCGGCCTCGTTTCGGTTACTTTGAGCGTACCTATAGCTAATTCGTACTAAGGAGCTCAGAAGTACCTAATCATTATAATCGTTATTGTGAATTTGTTATGTATTTAGTTTAATAATAGCAAAGTTAACCAATTATCGTGAACTGTGCTAAAATAAGCATCTCTTGTTTTACTGTTATCAACATAATTATCACTCACATCTATCTTTCAACGTAGTTTTCGACATAGTTGAATACAAACTTTTTAGTGTTATAGTACCTACCTAATTACCATTGGCTGACTTTATTATAAAATTGGATGCCATTAGAATTTTTCTTTTATTTTATTTTTTTAACCAACATACGGCTATTCAAAATTTTTTTCATCATTTTTAGCCAGGTATAGATAAGTAATAAAATTAAAACAGGTTTCTATCTTTTGTTGTTATTAAAAAACTGTTTTGTATGTTGTAATTTAAATGATTATTATTACTATTTAACTAAAATAATAATATCCACCTTGTCCACGACTCACACACCTTTTTTACATAGTTTTGATAACTTCTCAAAGAACTTGGATCAATTTGCTTTTACCTTTGCCTTGTCGGAATCGGAGAATCGGAACGTGCGCTGTCTGTCATAACAGTAAACACCGTCACATTGACTTGACATTTACCAACTTTTAGGTTATAATTCTAGCAGACGGTACGATATCGTAGATTTTGTTAATTCTCTATAAAGTACAATTAACATAGTTATTGCCGTTAAAATCAAGTGAATGCAACTTAAACGATTATGAAATGGAAGCTGCTACTCTACCAAAGAAGAAAACTACTATAAGTAAAGGCAAATTGAAGAAAACTATTAAGAATGTTTTATGTCGACCTGACCCACTGTTTTGGTAAGATTTTTGATTAATTTTAATTTAATTTAGAAAATCATTGAATGTAAAATACGACCTTGTATATTTTACAGGCCAGAAGTAACAGAAGATGAAGGTAAGAAATTAGAAAATGTGTTAAATAAACATAAAATCATTATAGAAGTATTCAAGAAGCCACACTGGAAAGATCTGAAAGATTTACCTAAAGAACAGCGTCCTAAACCACCTAAGTTGAAGTAAGTTATAACTTTTTAAATATTATTTTCTGTGTAATAGCAATAATGTTACTATGTTAATATAAGACAAGAAAACTTAAGTAGATCTGTAGTCCAACATACCACAGGTTATTGTTATTTTATTTAGTTATTGATATCTAAGCATGTGTGATATTTCCAGAAAGCCTGAGGGTCTTCTATTTGGTGTAAGAGAATGTACGGAATCTGTACAAAATGGAGAATGTTCGGCCATTATCATTGAAGCTAAAGTAAACCCACGACTGATTGTACAGCCTGTTGTTGAGTTATGTACTACAAAGGGTGTACCATACATATGTCTAAATAACTTGAGGAAAGTCTCCATGGTTAATTTTGGAGTTCCAACTAGCTGCTTAGGAATAAAACGAGACTGTCTTTTGGATATAAAGAAAGAAATAGCATACTTAGCTAAAAATCACCCAGCTACTAGACTACCTAAGCAAAACAAAGAAAACGATACTATAGAAGAAAACATGGATATTGAAACAATTATTGATAATCATGAAGCAAATACTGATAATCATGGAGCAAATAAAGTGACAGAAGTAACACCATTCAAGTTTTTATATAGAACAAGTAAGAGTACTAGAGTATTTGTACCGACTACCACAGAGAATATGTCAAAAACAAACAAAAAGTTCATAGGACAAAGCTTCATAGAATTCTCAGACAAACAAAAGGACAGTAAGACTTACAGGAAGATGTTATTGAAAAGGATGTCAAACAATCCAAACAGGGTTAAAAAGAAATAAACTAGTTTCTAATGAGAGAGATGCTTTATTTTCAAAATATTAATAACTACAATGTCACAATAGACATATTATGTTAAACATTCCACAAGGAATGCAAACTGTAATCAGAAATGTTCGGGATGTCTTCATAAGGTTAGCAAATAAATGTAAGCTATCCCTCAACACTTCTATTACAAACTATCAAGTTTTACCTTTCCATTTGGAAATCTGTCAATAAAATCTATTTTTATCTGTAAAAAAATATCAATGTTGCAATGAACAACAAAAATTTACAAAAGATAATGTACCATTTCCAAAACATCAGGTAAAACTTGATAAACTTAACTAATAATATCATGCCATACTTCATAAACCGTATCTATACAAAAATAACAACTATCACTCTATGAAGTATTGCATGGGAGTAGATATATGTATCTTACATTTTCAATTTATGCATTGCATTAAGTTTTTAACAGTTCAATTTAATAAAAATCAAACAACAGATTGGTTCAATGTTACACCCACTATGTCGGCTACACTAGCCCACCATAGCAGGCCATTGCTTACATCTAAACATACTTAATAAATCAAGAGAGTAAATAATAACATGAACAGTTGCTGATGCTCCCTCAATAGTCAATAAATGAGCCATAACCATGGTGCATATAATATATAGGACACTCAACATAATTATGTGCATTTCTTTATAAATACATCATATATTTATATTCATATATATAATAAATTACATATTAATACATTAAAATTCGTCATAACTTTAACAAATCAATTTTGTAAAGAATATATAGTGTTCAATATCATAACATTTCATTAAGTTATATATTAGTATAAAAATAATAATTGATACATGGTACCAATAATGATTTATATATGATCACATATTTAGCTATTTAATATCAATAATTGTCTTAATTTTATATGTCGCATAAATGCAAAAATAATTTGCGATATTATTCCTTTGAAAGTTTATAGGGATTAGAAAAAAGCAAAATATGCCAGAATAGCCAAGCAACAAGTTATATGTATAACTGTACAGTTGAAAATATATAAATGTATTTGTACATCTCTAGAAACTATTTAATTTTTATTAAATATTAGCATGCGCTTCTTAGAAGCGAATGTCAAAAATCATAGAATATGTACAAGATATAAATGCCTATTTATCGTCAATGATACGTTCGTATGGCGCAGTCTACTGGTGACGTGCGGCGGCCTCGGCACGATGTTGTATAAACTCCTGTCGACCACGACCAGTCTGAGCGTGGCCAGCGATCAGCTTCAGCGCTATCGGCGATATCTACTGAGCGGCTTTTATCAAAAACCGGCAGTAAGGGGATCGGGCCAGGCTCAATGAGGCACGCGCGCCTCGCTCGGCCGGTACCTGGCCAGGATGATGGCGCACATCGTCTGCGCGTCCGTCTCCTCAGGGTACGCCGCCATGGCCTCCGCCACCTGTGCCTCGGGGAATATCCCCGCCAGGTGGTAGTGCATGCGGCGCCGCGCGTCCCAGTGCTGCAGCGCGCCGTCGGACGCGCACGGAGACATCAGCGGGGCCAGCGCCGCCGCCGCGCCCCCCGCCCCGCTCCCCGCCGCGCCTGGCGCGCTCGCCACCCGCGCGGCCAGCGCGTGCGTCTGCAAACGCGGGTCGCACGCCGGATTCAGCGTCAGCTGGCGCGCCAACTTGCGGTGCGGGTTCACCTCGGGCGGCGGCTGCGACGGGCCCGGGACCTGTAGGGGGCCCGAGACCAGAGGTGGAGGTCCCGGTACTTGAAGCTGTGGCGGGGCCGCCACCTGCAACTGCGCGCGGTCGAAGTGTGTGGCGAGCGTGGCGTCGTGCAGGCGCGGCGCAGCGGACTGCGCGCGCGCGAGCTGTCGCTTAGCGTCGGACGGGCGGCCGCCGGGCGGCAGGCTGACGGTGTGGAGGTCGCGGGAGCGCAGTGTCTTGGCGGCGCGCTCGGACAGTTTCTCCGCGACAGACTTCTGCGGCCTGCCCGCGCGCTCCGGGTGGTGGAACTTGCACTTGTTGCCGTACGTACACTTGCGACCGTACGGACAGGCAGGCGGGGGCTCGGCGCGGGACACTGGCGCGCGCAGGAACGCGTCCAGCGTTGGTCCCGAGCGACCGAGTGGATCATCCGGAGGCATAAATCGGTCGTTCACGAAAGAATACATAAGTAGACGCTCTTCGACTACTTTCCGGAAGTCTGGGTTCTCCACAGCGAGGTCGCGATAGTTGTCGTTGGACACTACGATGCCATCGGTTTCAGCTGCAAGACGAAGGATATAGCGGTCGTCGTAGCAGACGAGGCGCTTGCCGCCCAGCAGTCTGCTGGGAGTGTACACGAGCACTCTGTCCCGCTCCAGGCGCTCGAGCGCGTCTCTGTCCACTATGGGGTTGTTGGGACGTGCTGATTCCTTTCGCCACTTGGGGACAAATGCTGTGATCTCTCGATGGCCGCGTGCACGGAACCACTCCACACAGATTTCAATACCGCGACACGAGAAAACCTCTTTGTTGCCATGGCTGAGGACAAAACAATAAAAATAAGCATAAATTGCCACACAACAACGAATCTGATAATATAGGTTAAATGGAAACTATACTATTTTTATAATCATTATATCTTTTTGATAAGATTATAAAAAAAAACTTATCAAATATGAACCGGAACTCTGTGATACTATATTTGAGCCATTCAGATTATTTACAATAAAGTTTAAACGGTCTATTTTGATAGAAGTAGTTTTGAAGAAGTTTTAATAAACTAGAAGTTAATTCGGCTAGTGATGTAAACATACCTCATAGCGACATTGCTGCCGTCTATGACGATGTGCCTGAGCGGCGCGCGGTCGGGTGGCGGGTCTGGTTCCGCGGGCGGAGTGGGCGACAGCGCGCGCGGCGGCTGCTTGGCGGCCAGCTTGATCAGCTCCGCCAACAACTCGTTGCACGGCGGGTCGGGGCCCAACCGCTGTATCGCTGTCCGCGCCAACCGCTCCGAGTAACCCAACTTCATAGCAAACTCGATCTTTGCCTGCAAATAAAAAATAATAATGAAAATAAAGTCGTTCGAGGAAAAAATCAAAAACAGTTCAGTTCAGAATTGAAACTTCCTTGAATTACTTACAATAGGTAGTTAACAAAATATAGTTGGTCTAGTTTACAAACGGGGAAACCCATTGTTCTATGACTGTCATAGGTGCTATGTTAATTAATGCGTACAAAAAACCGTCCTGTCGAGGCCTGCTTGTATGACGTTGATTAATTCTATTACTACATTCATATGAGCTTATGCTGCTAAGTACAATGTATCTTTAATTTTGAATGACCTTGCCCAATATATGTTGGACATAAGAACACGTCTTAAGGATGTTCCTAAGACTTTTGAGGGTTATATCCTTTGAATAATGTTTAAAAATGTAATTGAGCATAAAGTAATTGCTAGAAGATTACCTGGTTGGGTTGTGGTGGTGTGAGAGTGACATACTCTGCAAACTCGGCGGCGAGGGTGTCGGAGGGGGTCCGAGAGGCCGCACGGTGGGCACTCTCATCCTCACACTCCGAGTCATAACTGGAATCCTCGCCGCGCTCTCCTGCGCACCCCACTGATGACTCCACATATTTCTGGAACAATACCAACATATTTAGCATGGCCTTCAGGGAACAACAAATATACATAAGTTTAGGTACTTCTTATAGTTTTAAAGAAACAAATATTTCCAAAACCACTTATTTGATCAGAATACATATTTCATGTTAATAAATAGGTATATTAGGTAAGGTACCTAATATACCTATTTATTTGTTTAGATTGATTGTTTAAAATGTAAAGCCATAAACTATTGAAAATAAAAATTATTTCGTATAAAACGTAAATTATGGATTTGTGCAACATTTGGATGTGACGAGAATGCACAGTTTTTTTAATATTTATTTTGTTCACCTTGAGCGGCCTTCTTAGACTAATCAAATAATTTTAAGAGCATTCTATTAGCCTAAAATAACACATATATGATAAACTATTTGACATTTCAATAATGCTGCGTGAATCGGTATCTTAGCAAACCCGAAGACGTTAAGTTAGTGATGATTATTATCGATCAATAAGCAAATTTGATATAACCGCGACCGACACCGGCTCAGCACAGGGTCACGAGGGCGCCGAAGCGGATCTACAGATGATCATTGACCTTTAGCGTATGCGCAACGTCGGCCGTACCGGTTGGAATACATTATTCTTGAATTGACAAAAATATTTCTCAACTAAAAATTAAAAAATAACCCACGATCATATCGCACGCTGGACACGCTTACAGTTAGAAAATTTACTTAATAATGTACAAAATAGCTGTTAGTCATACTCGCAAGATCCGAGTCGAGACCTAGTTGGCTGACTGAGAAACTAAAATACAAATCTAGATTTTGGTTTAGATTAAGCCACGTAGGTGGGTAAAATAACAAACAGGATCTAAAGGAAATTCCTTTATTATCGCTGATTATTATGAATGATGGTATCTAATATTATTAATCGTTTCATTTTACTAAAAAAGCAAAGTAATGAAAGATTTTTTAAATGTAATTTTGATAATATCAAAGTAACACGCAACACTCATTAGTATTGCGTTAATATAATAAGAAAACAATAGTTGCATCAAAACTAAAAATTAGAACGGCAATACCCCTTTACTTCAATAACGGCTTTCATTTGCGTAGTGTGCGACTAGTTCCTGTTAGAAAATCGGTAGCTAAACGTACAGTCGTGTAAGACGATAAGTTTAGTAGGTCTCGGGAGCCTACATCCGGGCTAGGCACAGTACGGAAGCGCCCCGCCTACAGCGCGAAGCCGGATGCGACTTTCTAAAAAAATCGAGCCAAGTTACAGTTGGCGGTTGGAGAACGATATTGAACTATGTTGATTATGATGCAGTCAAGTCTTGATGTATCTCCATTCATTTATTTTACGAACACTCTCTAACTCTTTTATTCTTGGCTCATTAACTAATTTATTTGTTGTAGGAATCTAATAACCTTGTTCTTGCAATAATAATGATTTATGCTTTATCTATGATACATTACGTTTTACGTTTTTATGATTACTGCGAGTAAATAAAACCTTCAAGAAAAATAGTAAAAGTATTATCGAATAAATTGTTGCCCGTCAATGAAGAGTTCATTGAATATGTGACATAATAAATTGTCCTAAATGCTAGAATAGTATCTACGTGTTACGTCAATGAATCGTACGATGTACGTGTTTGGGGTGATAATGATTAATTGTGAATCTCGTTACACAAACAAGTTATTAAAAATATCTTAATCTTTTCCCGCACCATTATCACAGTCTCAGTACAATAGAGGTGTACTTAATAATACGAGAACTTCAAGTTTATAACGAGTCATCTACTAGCGAGCATATAAAATAAATAAACGGAAAAGCTTGACTGTGTTGATAGCCAAATTCGAACTCATTTTCTGGTAACAGCGGTAGATATTTTAGGCAAAACAAAAAAACCCATTGGATTATCCCGCCGCATTAGCCACGCTAGTTTACGTTGGACGAACTATTTGTTTACGTTTTTTCAGATTAGATTTTTAGAATCTGGAAGGAAACACGCTAGACTACTTGCGAAACACCAACGAGTCTATATTTCAATAACAACATCATTAAACGGGTCATAAGAACAAAAAACGACTCGCTTTGTGGCCTGGAGGTCATACAAATCAATCGAATCATTGAATTGATAATTATTATTCTTAGAGATAGATTTGTAGGCAGCTAGTAAGTACTTATTGCTTATTGTAATGTCTATATTTCTGTATTGAGCCAGATCAGTTGATACTAAATTATTTATATAATCAAGTTTTAGCCTTTTAACCTGTCGAGCGTCTAAACCTGGATCCACGAGAGACACAATGTCTTTTCTATTGTGTCTTATATATTGCTTCAGAGACACCGGTCTCTCTATGCAGAATCAGAAGTTCTGATTAAATTTTGTAGATTACCAGTGGTGTTTCGGTGTAGATATTAATTTAGCTCGCTTCTGAATTTTAAACAGTATTGCTTCTAAAGTCCCCGTTTTTAATGCTTGCACTTGCACTATTTCTCTTGAACTTATCATTTTTGTTGTTCAAATATTGTGTTTATGATAAATCGAACTTTAGACACAAAACTTCTTCCTGTGCATTGACGTGCAAAGAATGACTACAGATAGTATTGACGTCAATATAAACGGTTTTATCGTTTAGACGCAAATCAAGGAACTACTACGTACGTAGGACTATAATCGTGTTCGCAAAGGTTATCGTGCTGCGTATCTTAGAAATTAAGATACCATTAATTTTTGTTTACAACCAACTGACACCTATCTTTCTATCAATTCGCTATAAACTATAAATACGTTATTGATTTAGAAATACTTAACTATACAACCGAAATTCACGACCATCTAATCGTCCAAAGAATAACTACTACGAGATGATTTATCAATCAAACAGATAATTCTCACTGTAGAATAAAATTGCATATGACAGTTCTTAGTGTAGAATAATTGTCAAATATTCAAAATTATTCCTCCGATGAAACTTATCTGGCGTTGAAAAAATTGGCCCTGAATATTGCATGGTATTACCAAATTCTTGAAAACATCATTCCTAAACGACCAACTTACATACACGTTTTCCATTTTCCAGGAAACATTAGGTCACTCTGGGCAGTGAATACATGCTAAATAAGTTCTTAATCTATATTGAGAACGACTGTTCGTCGATAAATAAATAAGGTCTGGGTGAATGAGTACAAATAGTTCCGTTTGTAGAGGAGAAATTTTATCGTTGGTTTGTTGTGGAGATAACAGCGACCAATAGGGTGGGAGTATTCGGGCGACGCCACCTCATACGATGTGGCGTCAGCGACGAACAGGATGCGGGCACGCGACATACTTTATGTACAACACACACACACACGCGCGTGTACCTCACTGCATTCAACACAAACATTCGGTTGCCATAACAAAAGTCTCGTCTGTAGATACAACGATCGGCGAGCTCCGCGATATGAATACGTACGTGAGGTACAAAAGTCAAAATTCAATGTTGATAATACTGTTCAGATAAATAATTAACAACGGCAATAAGCCATAGACTTGTTGTCTATATAAAACAATCTGTCATAAGTAGCGAGTTGTTTTTATAAAGTTCTTAATTGATATTCAAGAGCTTGCAATTAATTCGTGACGTAGATGCTTTGGCTTTTGCTCACAACAATAATGACAAGATTAGATGAAAACGGAACATGACGTCAGTTGATCTTATCAGATATAAAGACTATAAGTAGGTAACTGTTGAATAAATTAAATGTATTACATGTATATTTAAGCTGTGGACGCTAGAGGTTCAGAATTTTTTTAAGAAATATTTAAGTCCCGAGAGTTTTATAAACCCAGATGGATAAGATTGAAGAAAACTTGATATGATCTAGTTCAAATCCAAATCAAGCAAGTCGATCTTCACATTTTTGGATATCTCGAAGGCTCAAAGTAACTATGACTTTTCTAGCATGATCAAAATCATAATAGTCATATAATGCCATAACAGTCAATAGATCAAATTTATAATAGTAACAGCTATTATATATCTAAAACTAAACTACGACCATTACACCAAAAGATGGACAGCAGCATTCTGACATCTATGACAGTTTTCAATAACCTAATTGCGATCCTCAAAACAAAACACCTGCAACTGCAAAGTGTAAGCATGATAGTAACTCCCTCGTTATATGGGAAGTTCTAGGTAACAGAAATAAGGTAGCAGTTCGTTACAGTTCATTTTTGATTTTTGAGCGTCGTGGAATATACAGATAAAACGCAGCTACCACCTATTAGTGTGACTGATTTACTTTTAAGATCTCGCAAAGACAAATTAGTATTGCCATAATTCTAAATGATATATTAGTTGGCAACACATAAATTATATCATACTTAAATCGCACCTATTTATCAAATTTTCACAGGATATTATTTAAATAAGTCTTTAATGTCGCAGTTAAAAAACTAATCTGACCACAAATTAGCATTATGGTACGTCACTTGAGTAAATTCGTCGAAGTCTGCCGAATTAGCTTTTAGAAGAAATCGAGTATTTTGTTAAATGGGCCCCTACCTCATTGACTCGCTTCTAATAACTGCCTATTGACATCTATTACATCAGAGCATAATCATACCGGATATTAATAAGTTTCAAGTAACATTAGAAGGTTGCCTGCGCCACGCCATTCTTTATTACGAACCAAATATTTTCTAACTCTTAGAATCTTGCATAAATACAATAATATGTTTTTATAATGAACTCATGTCATCGCGGCAAATTCCTGATCATTAGTAGGAATCGGTAATTGTCGGTTAACCATTTAATTAGAAACGATTGAAAGCAGTTAAATCTTGGTTTCCCCTATTCCCACGTGTCGTATCTCGGATTTTTAATTAAAGCTTACATTGTATTAAAATAAAATGAAAGTGACGTCTTTTGTATTCAGTTAGTTTGCTTGTGAAACATCCGTGAGTGTTAACATAACCTTCGCGTGTAGATCTGTAGAAAGCTCAACAACAAAAAAGGAAAACAGATCAATGATATCCTTCAAGTGTGTTGACAACGTATTAGCGATGCCCGATGTCGATACTTTGCTTAACTAAACACTTTAAAACATCCGATTATAAAAACTAACAGCAAAAAAATATCAATGAACTTGCTCAACGCATTCATATTTCTTAGAAAAGTCATCACACTTATTAAATTCAAATCCGTGATCAGATGTTGTAGATAACGTAAGCATATAAATCACCAGTGCTCTCTGAGGCGAAGTGAAAGTTAGCCATGATATCCGAGCAGTGCCGGACCTGCGACACTTTGCACAGGCGACAGATGAAGACATGCACATTAATTAAATATTGCTTTCACAAACTGCTACAAAAACAACAATATTGCAGCGTGATGCTGTTAAACGTCTGATGGCCGACGACCACAACACATCCATTATCTACTTGCTGGTATGCTAGCTGCACTAATTATGTTCACTGTAAGAGATCCAAAAAAATAATGTTCTCTTTCTCCGAGTCTGAAGTAATTTTACTCTCAATGAACACAAACAAACATACGAACACAAAGTCACATTTCTCACTCACCCACAACTAATCCTCTCAAAAACAATCCTAGGCATTTCGTCTGTGTTTGAGCACTGTATACATACAATAATTAGCATACCTACATGACGTTAACGAACCGGCTCTACTTCCGGGATCGTTATATCGGCCGATCGTGAATGAACATCATTATAATACGATGTAAGCACAGTCGCGTCTCACTGTGAAACTCGCGATAATAAGATCCGTATACGCAGAGCCAGCCTGTTGCGTGAACCGGGTGCAACAGGTGTCCTAACGGGGGATATGAGATTCGCGCTCACCTGGGAGTTGTCAATCGCGTACATAATATTGTATTAGATCGTGTGCGCGTCGCATGGCATCACGCGCGTGTGCGAGCGCGGCGTGTTGCGCGGCAAGACTATTGACTAGAGTATCATGTGGCGCAAGCGCATGCACACCTCCACGCACGAGCCCGCTGAGTGAAGGGGAAGCGGGGCACCGCGAGATCCGGGTTGTGCGCCCACTGCACCCGGCGGGCGGCCCCCAAACAAACCGCGCACCGCTGACCTCTGCCACTACCAATATCGTTTTGAATTTGTCGCATCCATCGACACTACCACGAATTATACCCGGAAATAATATGATGTGAACTTTCTAACGCCATTTTTGTCATAAAATGTTATACAATCCAACGCAACTGTTGTCGCTGGTAATCTAGACCGAAACCCAATCGAGTTCACTGTCGGTTGGATTATAGAAAATTAGAGAGTGGTAAATGAAGTACGATTTTTCAAGGGAAATAAAATATATTTTTTTTTTTAATCTTCAGAAAAAATTGATCTGAATTGAGAACCTCCTATTTTGAAGGTGATTACAAATTAATTCGCATTCTCTTGCCTAAACATTTAAGCACCCTGTAAGCCAACATGAAGTTACTCAAAATTAAAAAGTAAGCCTGAGAGTCAATATCCAATTAGATAACTCATTGAATATTTTTTAATGTTAACTTGTAACAAAACGTTTGGTATTTTTAAAGTGGTCACGAAATAATAGGAACAGTAAAGAGTTCTAACAAGACTGCAAAGGAATTTTACCTTGGTCTTCTTTTCCTTGATATTATGTCACCATCTTTAAATTCTACTGGTCAAAATTTATCGCAATAGGTGACCTTGTTGTTACTGACAGACATGAAAAACGACACCTACAAAATAGTGATAACTTATTTGATAATTTGATTTCTCAAAAGTAATTGTGAAGTTTGTGAATTAAATAAATAATTAAAAGTTTTACACCTCTTTAACTGACTTCCAAGTTAGATCTGCACCTATATTTTAGAAACAGTTAATTTTTCAAAGGATCTTCTTCTATCTAAAATATACAAACCTACTATGTAGGAATCCCTTTAGTTTATGGGTATCATCTACATACAACTACCCCCTAATTATCCTTCGGAATGGATGGTATATAATTTTATAATACCCTGCTTTTTATTCAATTCAAGTGTATTATTAAATAAAATATAATATACTTGTACGGTTTTAATGGGATTAATACATACAAAACTAAACATTCAATTTATGAATAGTATTTTTTGCTGCCATCTAGCCTTGTAGTCTCCAAGGTGTGCAAGATTTTGAATTAATTAGCAGTTGATGTATTTATTGTCTTGTTATTTAATATCTTGAAACTAAGATAAGATAATATAAAAGTTATCTCAATACATGTTATTTAACTCATTTCTTAGTGCGGTTGTTGGGAGACCGGATGCTGAGCTACTTGTTAATAGTTCAGTTCCCACATATGAATACTATTTATTATTTAAGATAAAGAAAAATACTTTTGTGATGTATTCTATACTAGAATTAGTCGTGAACCAATGCAGTTTGTGTAAAAATACATAATAGTACTGATGAAATCTTATTTACGTAGATTAGTTACATGATCTTGTTACATTTTCAATTTTGACAGTAATATATCAATTGGAATTATATTTAACCCTTTGAATACCGTCATTATAGACACAATTAAAGAACAATAGGTTGTGGTCACTGGTGTGTTTAAGAACTAGAAACACCAAGACTTTATAACAAAATGACAATGATAAATCATTTCAGAAAATGTAGGTATCTGTTTGTTGGTCTACATCACAAGACAGTGTTCTATGCTATGATTTTTCAAGTTTGGATAAAGTTAAGGACCCTTTTTTTCCTTGGATCAAGTAGGCAAAACCCCTGGCAACAGCTAGTAAAAATATTTCCCTGATAATTTTAACTTATCAGTCTACCAACTAGTAATAGAAAACATTTCCATACTAAGAATAATATCAATTTTAATCAAAAGATTAAAGATATTAAATATTCTTATTAATCAAGTTTGTAATAATAATTTATTATGTATCAGATAATGGCATTACTAATTACTAACAATGATTCACACTAGTGATGGTGCCAAAGAGTTATGTATTTACACTGGCCAAGCAATGGTGGTAATTTTGGAACCCAATAGATAATGATTCAGGCAACTAACATGATTCTAATTGGTAAAATAACCAGATTCCAAATGTGTACAAATTGGGAAACTTGCAAGGAAATGAGGTCATTCAACAAGTTTAGAGTCAAATTGCAAATTTTTATCTAATTTAAATATTTAATAAATTCACTCATTCACAAAATTAATATTCCTTTTCTGCCACATGGCACAGAAGCCTAATAATAATCTTGTTAGAAACTACATTTTAATAATATGTATATTGCACTATAAATGTTGATGACGATATGCCTTTATTATTCAGTAGATCCTTTGTTACATTTACATTTCTTTCGAGAACAATAAAAGTTGACATTTTGTTTAACTTTTAGACGGTATTTACCTGTATTCTCCCAGTCAGTTCCTTCGGATTGAAACTTCCATCTGCTGGATTCAAGTTGAACGTGACGTTAAAATACACATAATCAGGTTTTTCATTCGCGGAACACAATTTACTCTCAGACAGTGTGACACAGTAAAATGTTTCAACTAAATTATAATATTTGCAGTAAAATTCATTTATACGGGAACGCGGCACTGATATTACAAGATCCGTCTCGTGAGACATCGTTTGCTGTGTGTCGCAATAATGATCACACACGACTATCGCAGTTTTATTGCATAATTCGTATCAAAACAACTATGACAACCTTCCATTCCAACACTTGCGAACTCAATCTGAATTTTAGTTTGACAGATTGCTTTGACAGACAGACACTGCCCATTGCCAATACTGGCAGCAGGTTGCTTATTTATGTACAGATAAATAATAAAACATTTAGTCGATTATTATATTTATCGATTTAAATAGTGTTGATGAAACCACGATAAAACCGGTTCGGTAATAATGTTAGCTAACTACCTAAAACAAGATTAATTTTTCAGAGGGTACTTATACATTTTACGCAAATATAAAAAAATGGTAATAATTATTTTTACTTTTACCTACGGATAAATATTATTTTTTACTATTATTTTTATACCTAATGATAAGTGCTATGTATAGCCACGTCACTCAAGTGGTCGGAAATTCTTCTACATAGTATGAGATCTCGGGACCCATTCGCGGACGAAAATATGTATTGGTTTTAGAATGTTTCAATAATCGTACACAGTCTGAAATGGTTTCTGATTTTAAATAATAATCTAACCTATGATAGTTGGGCTCGCTTCCATTGCAGCGGTAAGTCCCCTCTTTGAGGAGTGGCTTGAGAGACGCTACGGCGTCCTCACCTACCGCCTGACGCAGGTCCTCACCGGACATGGAAGTTTCGGGAGGTACCTGTGTCTGATGGGGCGGGAGGAAACGCCCGGGTGTCATCACTGCGAGGACCGCCCTGAGGACACGGTGGAACACAGTGGGAGAATGCCCTGCGTGGGCTGAGCACCGCCGTGCCCTCAGGGAAGTGATCGGCGATGGCGACCTCTCGCGTCCGAGCCTAGTGCAGGCCATGATGCGGAGCGAGGGGGACTGGGATGCCGTCTCTCCTTTTGCGAAGCAGTCATGCTAGCTAAGGAGGAGGCGGGACGCGTGAGGCAGCGAAGCGCTGTCTCCTCGCAACCCAGCCATCGCGAAGGACACACCGGGCGTCGGGGATCGCGGGACGATCTCCGGCCACCGTAAGCGCGGGCCTGCGGACGGCGAGCATGGGTGGCTCCCCGTCCGACCAGAAACAGACCCGAGCGTACGGCGCGTCGCGTTCCGCGCGCGCCTCAAAGAGCCATCAGACCACCACAGATGGGGCCCAATAGGGCCGATGCCGATTCGGAGTCGCGGAGAACCTAGCGGGTAACCGGGGCTCCGGCTCGACGTGCAGGAGAAGGAACGGGGTGGTTTTTAGTCAGTAAGAGTCTGACACTCCCTTCCGCCTCACCCAGGCGGAAGCAGTCATTCGATGATTTTCCCCCCTTAAAAAAAAACCTATGAAAGTGCCGCTTTGTATGAAAAAAAACTGTTCTTTTTTATATATTTTTATTTGTGTCGAAGTAATCCCCAATGCAATCAATACATCTTTACCCAGTGGTAGTTTAATGATTCTTAAATAAATCAGCTGGACCGGGTGCAACAAATTCTTATCAGCATTTTTTACTGCCAATCGCTTAATTTTTTCCCGCCAAGAAGTTATCCAAACTCTGGAAAAAGTAGTAGTCTGTAGGCACAAGGTCTAGTGAATAGAGCGAATAACACAGAAGTTTCAATTCCGGTTCTTACAACTTGGAGACGGTCTGCCATACAGTATGAGGTCGTGCAGGAGCAGAGGTGACGATGACGAGCGATTGTCCAATGCTGGTTTTAGATGTGCCAGCTTCTCCATCACTGGATTGCTGTACCAGACAGAAATATAAGTTTGTCGAATGTAAAGGAGGCCATACGCTAGGTTTTGCATGATGGTTTTAGCCGTGCATGCATAACCGACAGGCAAGCCCTAGCGTGTATGTGATTAAACTGTGCAGTTATCGGTGCATCGGTGCTTTGTTTTGCAAGCACAGTTATAACCATCATGCATAACCTAGCGTGTATGGCCTCCTTTAGTTTGGCTGCCAATGGACCTTGCGCTGTAACTATAGGGTCGACGACGGTTGGAAGGTTGAAAGTAATTACTTGAACTTGAACCTTGAACCGCTATTATAAATGCGATAATTTGTGTGTTTGTGCATATGTTTGTTACTCAGTCACATCAGAACGACAGGAGGGACAGGGATGGGAACTGAAGTAGATAATGGTCTGGAGTATACACGGGCTACTTTTTATTCCCGGGACCGCAAGCGAAGCTGCTGACAGAAGCTAAAAGTAAGGTTACCTACCTGATGATAAGCATTTGGTGTCAATTTGAATAAAATACTTTTTTTAAAGGGCGGAAAATCATCGAATGTTCCCACCTGGGTAAGACGGGAGGGAGACTCATAATGACTAAAAACCACCCCGTTCCTTCTTCTACGCGTCGAGTCGAAGCCCGTTAGGTTACTGACGCCGCCTGACCGTCCGCGACTGAATAAAATACTTAAATCTATAAATTTTGATAAAAAGAGTACATTATGTCTGATGCATAAGTAGGTGTGACATGGATGTTCATTTCTAGCGACTCCTTCATTTTCGGCCCAAATTAATAATCCAATTTTTTATTAGTAGACACTTCCATATACATAAGTAATGTAAAAAATCGATTATCAAATTTCGGTTAGGTTTGTAGTACTTAAAAATGTGCAACTACCTACATTTTACACTATACAAGAAATTACAGACAGCTAAGAATATGTGACCGTTAAAATCTTCGATAACCGACACTCGTCGCGATTTCAAAGTATCATCTTGAGGGTAGAAAAAGATCAATTGACATTGTTGTAGATTATGTTAACATTAATTTTAAGAAGTCAGTTGAACATTCACGATATTTGCGCAAGTTCAAATGCAATTATATTATTTTAAACGTGAAGTGCATTATTGACAATATGTCCACTGTTTGGGTATTAGCTGAATTGAAGGATGTTAGGGATCCGAATACGATGTTTCCACAAAAAGTAATGGTCCGCGTATTCAGAAGGGGTCACGACGAAACAACTTGGGTCCCTGGAAATATTGTAAACTTGTGCGATGAAGGCCAGGCTCCCCAAAGAGCAAGAATTTTATTTGTATCTAGTAAGTCTTTATTACTTTATCACACACATCACAGTTTTTATTTTTATTACTTAGTCACATATAAAGCACATATGTTAATACATACATAGGTACCTACTGTGGAACGGTGTAGAAGAATGTAACAAAATTTGTCACCATCCTCGGTTTGTAACTGACTCGTTGGCCGAGTGGTCGCAAGTCGACTGCCGGGCAAGGGGTCTCGGGTTCGATTCCCGGGTCGGACAAAGAATTACTGGGTTTTTAAAAATTCTCAGTACTAGCACGGAGTCTGGAATTGTGCCCGGTATATGGCAATAGGCTCACCCCCTATTACATGGGACTCATAACATAAATAGTGAAAAGTGGGTGTTACATTGTACAGTGGCATAATGTGCACCTCTGCCTACCGTTTCGGGGATAAAAGTATGTTGTCACCACCCCTGCTCTTTCCGCGAGTGTAGTAAGAGTGACAGACGACCGAAATTATGGACTCAATCCAACTGGATTAAGACCAGTTATGGACATGTCGTGTATGAAGTGTCTGTCCAAGACAGAGATCGATCTAAAGATATATCAAATAGACCATCACCGTATCCAAACCAATCACCAGTCGTAAGCCACCCCACATTTATAAAGACAGGTAGCAGTACGGTCTGATAAACCAGAACTTATAATCTGCTATTACTGCTATTACGAGCATGCATGAAAAGGTTGATGACTGTTGATGAAGCTAAAGAGGTATGTAGGAATCGTAGTACCTAGTTGGCGTTCCATAGTCTCTGCCTGCCCCCATGGGAGACAGGCATGAAGTTATGGTATGTATGTATAAACTGCTTTTCCAATTCGCTTGACAAGAGTCATCATCATCATCATCATCATCAAGCCATCAACAGCTGTAAGAAAGAAAGAAAGAAAAACCATTTATAAAGAAGTCCACTGCTGGACAAAGGCCGCGACAAAGGAGAGGGGGGGGGGGGTACCATAATCCACACGCTTGGCAGGCGTCTTGGGGATCGCAGTTTGATCACCGATGTATTTATGGAATGTTGCAGCCCATTCCTTGGTCTGCAACATTCCTTGGTCGCAGTATTAGACGTACCCAGGTCGGACTGACGGTCTCACAAGAGTACATAGGGATTATAACAAACCCCTCTTATCTAGAGGAGACCCATGATCCAGTACCTAGATAGTTATCCGTTGTGGTTGTTGTTGTGATTGGTGATCATATTCTTTTTTTTAAACTGCGCCACACTAGAATTTTCTCCTGTGTTGTGGGTGCGTTTACAAACATATAAGTTCACATACACATGACACCCAGACCCGGAACAACAATTTGTGGATCACACAAAGAGTCGCTCCGTGCGGGAATCGGACCCGCGACATGTTGCATGGCATGTTCTGCGTTTTCGCTTTTTCGTAACCACCTAAACTTGGTCGGGTTACCACGGTCGTTCTCTTCCTAATGACTTTAATCGTAATTTCTCATTAATTATCCAGTGTACTGAGCTGAAATTTTACTGATGTATAATTGAACTAAACAACTAATTATTGACATAACATTCAGTTCAAATATCCAATCCAGTGGCCAAATAACACCGCGCGCATCAAGACCGTACTCGTGAAGAACTCAATATCATCATAACTTGTTCAATACTTACAAGATACTAATGAAACTTCACATACATTTGAAGGCAGTTACAAGATTTTAAATAACGTTTAAAGTAAGTCTTTAGAGCTCTTATTTAGAGTGCTGGGACTAATTTAAGAGTTTTTCTATTTAATGAAATAACTTTAAAGCTATTTATTATTTTGGTTTTTTTATTGCACAACAAATATAAATTTAAACTAATTAATAAGAAGCCATGTACCAAATATGATAAGAATCCGCTTAACCATTTCAAAGATCTAGCAAAATCAAAAACGTTACCCCACCAAAATCTCAAATAACTTCGCAACCGATGAAAGAACAAATACAAAACAAGGCACAACATTTACTTCATCTAGACTACTAATTTTATAGCTAGTAATTATTTAAATATTCCCATTAGAAAGAAAAAGGTCTGGCTGGAGTAACGTTACCCCAGCAGGAAATGTTTTTGTGAAATAATTAAAAAACTATAAAAATGTGTGCAACAATTACAGAAACCGCACAACTATTTATCTATAAAGATTAAATGACCATTTTTGACAACATCTGGCCTGGGTAACGCACACACCAAAATAATATTATTTACAATTTTTGTCTGTCTGTCTGTTTGTACTGGCTAATATCTGGATAGCTGAACCGATTTTGGAAGACTTATTGGCAATTGTATTGACGTTTATTCCCTCCTTTATTATCGGACTATATTAATATATTACTTTTTATCCGCATTTAACGCGAGTTAGACTGCTACCAGAAGCTGGTATTACATAACTGAATGAACATAGTATAATACAAAGTTGCTTTGTCTGTCTGTCTGCCTGTCTGTCTGTATATCTGTCTGTCCCTACATATGCTAAGATGGAAGTTTTTTTGATAGACAGATTCAATAGGATGGTTGAAATGTATTTATACACGTGCGTTACCGGCTTTTTGGGAATTAGAAGTTTGAGGATTGTGGATGATTCGGGGATTGGGGAGACTGGGGAAAGGGGTAATTGTGCCTCCGTGTGAGAAGGAGTGAGGTTACCTCACTCACACGACGGAACAATTAACTAAAAAATAATTCCATGTTGTTTCGATTGCAGAAAACAGAAAATTAGTCCTGAATAAAAAAGAACTTTCGGGCATGCAGGAGATCTATATGAGGGAAGTGGTGAAGAGATGTTTACGCACCATCTCAGATTTGAGACGCAATAGTCAAGTAAGTGCCGAAACTGTAATTTGTAATTTGAGGATAACATCAATAAAATAATATTTTGTGTAGGTAGGTATCGAACCCGCTATACGTGGCACCACAACACACAGTTACCCTACCACTATGCCTAACGTGCAGTTTAAACAACATATTGTTGGACCTGGAAATGTACTATGTACTCATGTACTCATAGTACAGTATTCGGCAATAGATTGCACATCGATTTTTTGAAGGAAATTATTTACTTTATGATATCACGATCATACCTATATTATTTGTACTATACTTTCTTTTTCAATCTAGTTACTTATAGGTAATTAGTTTTATTTATAACAGCTCACAACCATGAGCAGTAAAAGCATGAAAAGTAAAGATCAATGCTGCAATATTTATCACCGGATACTATACTTATCTATTGACAACTATTTAAACAATTACCATTTTTTGTAACTCGGTTTAAACATATCTTAACTTGTATTTGGGTACTGAGAACTGGGTATCTAAGCGGCTTACATAGCAAAAAGTTTCAACAAACAAAAAGCTTGGAAAGGTCCTTCATTTATTTTCCTTTCGTTACATTTGCCAATTTTTTTCTTTTGTATTTGCAAATTCGCCAATGGGAAAATACCACGCAAAGTAAAAATGAACCGAAGTTACAAAAAAACTATTGACGGACTGGACAGACCCATTGTTGTCAATTGTAAAGAGTTTAGTGTACTGTAATAAAGATGGTACAAGAAAATTACAATTGGGGGAGCTATTGTACTTTATTGTTAAACAACTGTTTATCCCCTGAGGTTGTAAATGATTTTGGCGAAGAAAAAGGAGGGTTTTTATTTACCCTATCCGCTTCTATGTCCGCAAAAACTGGTTAATACACAAGTACTACCTAGATGCAAGAAAGGTCGGCTTGAAACAAAAGATCAGACGACCATTGACAAAAAAAATACCTGTATAGATGACAAAACATCTGCGTTTGTATAACTAGTTACTTAAACTCTAACTTTTTCTAGTGAAAATAAATAATAGACTAATGCATGTCAAAACATCACATAGGTACTGTGTGATGTTTTGACATGTTTTGTATAGGTATGTTTGACTATGTGTATAGTAATATACATATTGAAACTCCTTTGACTACTAATATTTTTTATAGTACTAATTGGTTGCAAAAAAGATTACAGCCAGCCTGATAGTAAACGTAGATACACTACGTAGCCTAAGTAGTACCTACACTTGTAACACTAGGGTTTTTTTATGGCATAAGCCGGTAAACGAGCAGACGGATCACCTGATGGTAAGCAATCGGTGGCGCCCATGGACACCTAGAACACCAGAGCGTTACAAGTGCGTTACCCGGCCTTTTGGGGATTAGGAGTTTGAGGATCGTTGGGGATTCAGGATTGGGGAGATTGGGGAAGGGAGGGTAATTGGGCCTCCGGTAACCTCACATGACGAAACACAACGCAAGCGTTGCTTCACGTCGGTTTTCTATGAGGTCGTGGTATCACTCCGGTCGAGCCGGACCACTCGTGCCGAAGCATGGCTCTCCCACAATTATCACATGGTATCACAAATGCGTTGCGAATTAATCATCTGTTTAATTGCGACGTAGTTTTTGGGAAAAGGGTTTACCAAAAATGATGGGGCTCGTGCAGTCTGTCTAAGAAGGATCATGCAATGTGTAGGTAAACAATACATATTAGTTTCATAAAACACTCCTTCGCCTGCTGTGCTATGAATGTCCTATATTATTAATAGGGAATTCCTGAAAATGTCTGTAGTGGGACGGAGTCTGGAATTGTGCTCAGTATATGGCAATAGGCTCAGCCCTATTATATGGGACTTATAACATAAATAGTGAAAAGATTTACATTGTACAGTTGCATCAAGTGTCATAATGTGCACTTCTGCCTACCCCTTTCTGGATAAAAGGCTTGATTTATTTTATATCCAGACTGCATGGTGTTCCACGCAGTCAAGCCTGGAACTACCTTATTCATTGATTATGTAACTTCTTACTATTATGGTAATAAACTCAACTCCAAGCAGTCTGCTCCAATCAATTTTCGTATCAGGCGCAGTAGCTTTGACATTTTTTTAAATTCTTAGTCGCTATAAATATTGGTAGTGGTGGTGATGGACTGACAAGATAATATAAAATCGATGTCATCATTCCATATCATGAGAACCCTGTGAAAATGTCTTACGTACCTACCTATTATATTTTTTGTCTATCATTTATTGTGTCTGCTGGTTGATTTGTGATTCTACGTTTTATTTGTAAACAATTTGTTGTAGGTATAAGACTTTGTTCCTACTATGTTTTTGTTAACTTTACATAAACATATACTTGATACAAATACTAATATTAACTAACATTGCCTTTCCCCTCAGGGATCAAAGGCGTTATGGGATTTATGTTTTTTTTTATAACTTAGTTAAATAAATTTTTACGAAAGTGTTTATTTTATATTCTGTGAAAAACGCTCGTTACACGTTTGACCAAACTATGTACAATTTTTTAAGTCAATAATGATTGTTTAAGAAAGTCATTGTAGTCGAAACTATTGTTTACTTAATCGTAGGACCACCCAACCTATTTTGTTTTGCATTGCCCGTCGCCTTAGACAGTTCTATGGTTGTTTTGTTAGCAAAAACGTTTCAAGATAAACAAAAGGCTTGTAAATTTTTATAATCCTGCCGACGTTTAAAAGCTATATATCATATTATTCACCCTACAATAGGAGATACTTCCTGAAAGGCTATGAAAGGTCCATTCTATTGCAAGGATTTAATATTTTACACACCAAAAGAAATGTTAAGCGGTTTTCCTTGACTAATTTTTTTTGTGTAACACGAATCTTTCAAAAGGAGTCTTGCTTTTGGGGAGAAAGACAAAAGAGTATGACTAGACATTATCATTACTGAATTAAGTTCAGAGTTTAGGAATATTTGTTTTTTTAAGGAGGAAAATTATCGAATGACTGCTCCCGCCTGGGTGAGGCGGGCGGGAGGGAGTGTCAGACTCTTACTGACTAAAAACCACCCCGTTCCTTCTCCTTCACGTCGAGCCGGAGCCCCGGTAACCCGTTAGGTTTTCCGCAACTCCGAATCGGAGGAATATTAGTTTAGGAGTATTAAGTTGATACGCCTATCTTCATGGGAGACAGGCTTGAAGTTATGTATGTATGTATCTAGTATTAATTTGATATTAAATACAAAATTACAATACAATAATATTAACAGGATGTCATGGTGGCTCGGAAGACTAGAATGCCGCTGCTCATGTATAAGGGTGCGGGTTCAAAACTTACCAACAGCAAGTACTAATGTGACTTTTCCGAGTTATACGTCCTTTCTAAGATTATTAAGATATCTCTGATGGAAAACATCGTAAAGATACCTGGACTTAAAGATTGAAATCGCCAACCCGCATTGAATAAGCGTGGTGATTAATGCTCAAACCTTCTTCGTGTGAGAAGAGGCCTTTAGTCATTAATAGCCTCTTAGGTATACCTAAGATGTTGATGTGATGTGAAAATTAACAGAACCCCTCAGCCCTGGCAGATTGGACCATGCTTCCGCTACTGGATAACTCCAATTTTATATTTTACTAGCAAACCCGGTGAAGTCCGTTTCGCCACCAGATGGCTTAGTTTTATGTAACATTTCATTTGGTGATTAAAAGAGAATTTTCTTTGCTATAAACCTCACGGAGCCCGAGACCTTTCCAACGAATGCAAAACCGTGGAAATCGGTTCGTGCGTTCTGGAGTTATAGCGTCAGGAAAGAAAACCCGACTTATTTTTATATAGTAGATTTGAGAATTAGTTTAAATAAATATACTTACTTATAGTATATTAATAAAGTTGTTATATATAACTAGCTTCTGCGAGCGGCTTCGCCCGGGTTCCCGTGGGTTAAAAAGTAGTCTAGATGTTATCCCGGAGCATAATTTATTATCCCCGTTCTTTGGAACTATTTGGCGATAATCCCCATATATGCCCGATTTATGATCCCTTCAGCCTTTTGACGGGTCAAAAACAAACAAACAAACACACAAACATTATAATTTAAGTAGAATAGGAAACAATCATACCGATTAAGACAATATTTTTCCTAAGTGCACAGTTTTCTATATTATCAGTGCATGCAGTGCAGCGCAGTGCCACCAAGTGCATTGAACATCAATAGGGATGTTGACAGGGTATAAAATTAACCGCTTGAATTCCTGTATATCTATAAGACATTTAAGTGTGGGAGAGCCATACTTCGGCACGATTGGGCGGGCTCGACCGTGATAACAAGGCCTCACAGAAAACCGACGTGAAGCAACGCTTGCGTTGTGTTTCGTCGTGTAAGTGAGGTTACCGGAGGCCCATTACCCTCCCCTTCCCCAATCTACCCAATTCCTGAATCCCCAACGATCCTCAAACTCCTAATGCCCAAAAGGCTGGTGACGCATTTGTAACGCTTCTGGTGTTCCAGGTGTCCATGGGCGACGCCGATTGCTTACCATCAGGCGATCCGTCTGCTCGTTTACCGGCCTATGCCATAAAAAAAGACAATAGAAAATACATTGAGTCTCGCGTGGATCCACGTTTAGACACACGACGGGTTAAATATCTATTTTATAGCCCATCGTTAAATAATATAATATGGTAGCCTATATTATATAGCTATAGCATATACCTACTGGCTGTTGCAAGGGACTCCTGCCGAGAAGCATATAAATTTTAAAACAAATTCTTTTTGTTTTAATTTTTACTAAATAAAAGAAGCCTATGTTACTCTTTAGTACTTACGTCAGCTACCTGCCAATAAAAGTCTTGCAGAATCGGCCAATATTCCAGAAATTTAAGCCAGTACAAACAGGAAGATAATATATATAAAAAAAAATGTAAAATATGTTATTTTGGTACTTACCCATGTGTATCGTATAGTATACTCACTCATATGCATGTTGTAAAAACCGGTTATTTTGATATTACAAATATACTTACACTTTTATTTATCTGCATATTAGATACCTATATTACATACGTATCTTCTATTACTTTCTCGTAGATAAAAGGAAAAGGTACTGATACATAATATTCTAAATTCAAAACACGAAAGCATGCTTTAATTGAACACTATTATTTGCATGTTAATTTTGATTTGTTCAAAATTAACATGTTCATTTCGGGTATGCTTACGAATCGACAGGCGTATGATTTTTGAATACTTTTCAGCATGCTCAATAGAAGCCAAGCATGCGCAACAATACCTTTACTTTAGAAGAGCTAGCACGTGGCTACTATACAACGTGTCGTGGGTTCGATCCTCGCACGGAAGAACTATCTATGTTTGATCCGCAACTAGTTGTTGATGTAGCAGCTAAGTATTATAGTAATTCAAACTAAACGTGTATACAATTTTAGCTAAATCGGTTGAAGATACTACAAGATTCTACTTCACACACATACATACTTACATTATATACCTACATACATCATGCCTTTTATCCCCGAAGGGGTAGGCAGGGTACTTACATTACAGCACTTGATGCGATTGTACAATGAAATACCCACTTGACAGTATTTATCATTTATGTTATGAGTCCCTTGTAATAGGGGGTGAGCCACATACATACCTACATTCATACATATAATACATTGTAAGTTAAGTAGCAACCTGTACCTAAGACCTAAACAAAAAAGGAGGAAGAAAAAGTGAAAGATAAATTAAATGAATCTTGTTGACACGACGTAATAGCGCGATTTCTTAAATGATTTAAAGTGAGCCGTCAATATTTGATTATATACGAGGTTGCATTGTTAAGGCGGTGTTACATTATTCGTAGTAGCATGCATTCGTTGTTGCGTGTTTCATTGTAATATACTTACCTTATTCGAGATTTCATTTTTCGTTATCATTATTACATTGACCCGTTAGTATATACATACATACATACACATACAATCAGCGTGCAGTATAAATAGTGTATAGATATATTCAACTTCTTTCGTTTTTGAAGTCGGTTGATATACTGAAACCGACTTCTAAAATTAAATGTCACAAACCATTTACTGGAAACCGCAACCGCAAATAGGTTCAGCCAATCCCTTACAAACATACTTACATATACAGGTCAAACCGCATAGAACCTATTAGTTAACCGACTTAAAAAAGAAAAAGGAAATGAATCGAATATTTTAATAAACCTACCCGATGTAAGTACATTATTAAATAGTTATTATTCACTGTAACTTCAGTTAGTAATACATAACATAACATCACGCCTTTTATCCCCGAAGAAGTAGACAGAGGGCGCAGCGGTAAACACTTAATGCCAGCAATTAATGTTATGAGTCCCATGTAATAGGGGGTGAGCCTATTGCCATATACCGGGCACATGTCCAAACTCCAGACTCCGTGCTACTAGTTCCAGGTACTGAGGTTTTTTAAAAACCCAATTATAAGTAATACATCAAATAATTGTTCAATACTACATACCATATTTTATTGTCCATGATGGGTAGTATGGCGCATGCGTACCCACCTACCTACCTACCACGTACTACCATAGTCCTAACACGTGTCATGTCATGTAACTTTAATTATAATAATTTAAAACTATGTTCAATAACATTAACTATCGTGAGACATAATAAATTAATTTAAAATAACGGTTTACCTACTTACGTAAATAACTGAGGAAAGCTCTACGTGCTTGTTCACGCTGACACGTGGTCGCGGGCGTGAGCGCGGATGCGGGCGCGGGCGCGGAATATCAAACATAATGACACGACATCCAAGTTCATGTACAAAACGCGTGTGCTGTGTAAGTAGCGGGATGTCATACCATATGTTGGATATATCGCGACCGCACCCGCCAGTCAGTGTATACAAGCACTGCTGGTTTCAAGTCACAAGATCACAACGGGGTTCGGCTTCATGAGCAGCGTGCGCGGAAGCGGCGACGTTGCTAAGCCTACTCCGTAATTCGACATTTTCAATTAATTTATAACTTTAAACACTAAATAATACGACTTTCATACTTGACTTGAACCTGGATGATTGTTATATGTGTTCGGGTGTATTTCCAACGGGCAACTGAGTACCTTTCTTTTTCTTTAGCAGGATTTACAAACCTTTTAGTAGAAATAACCAACCATTGACAATATTTATTTTCTTTCTACAAGTGTTGCCTTATTTAAGATTTTTACTCTGTATCGTTAGTGCGTCAATAAACACATATTTTCATATACATATTACACCAAAATCCAGATTAACTTTTTCAATTGGGGATGACTGCGAGTTATAAACGTAAGAGTAGGTAGACAAATATAACCAGGACCTTCGAAATGCTAAGCTATCGGGAATTAGGTACACGTATTATAGTGAGTCCACCATAAAAGATAGACGTATGCTGTCGTGAGTTATTACTTATATAATTTTAAGGAAAACATTTCCGTCATACATTAAGTTAGCACACACGACGGAACCTTCAAAAATGGAGCAACTTCTCCCGTTTTCCTAACATTTCCCTTCACTGCTCTGCTCCTATTGATTGTAGCGTGATGAAAAGTAGACTACAGCCAGCTTAGGAGTATGAAATATAATTGTACCAAGTTTCGTTAAAATCTGTCGAGTAGTTTTTGTTTCTATAACGGTTATACAGATAGACAGACAGACAGACAAATAAACAAACGTTTAACTGGATGCATTTTTGGCATCAGTATCGATCCCTTATCACGCCCTGATAGTTCTTTTGGAAATATATGTATGTATATCAGATATAATATGAAACTGAAGATTTTGTTTGTTTGAACGCGCTTATCTCGGGAACAACTAGTCCAATTTGATTAATATTTTTTTTTAATAATTAAATTTTATTTTTGTGTTGCATACTCAATGGTCTATCGTCGATTAATGTATCGAGAAAAGGCTATAAGCTTATATAACATCACGCTACGATCAATAGGCGCCGCGCAGAGCGGGTGAAACCGCGCAGAATATAAATAGGCTGCCCATTCCGTGCGTTGAAGTGCTTCTCTGGATGTCTTCAAGTGAAAATGGCAGTATACATGTGTATGTACAAGGCAATAAAAACAGTGGCATAATGTGCACCTCTGCCTACCCCTTCGGGGATAAAAGGCGTGATGTTATGTTATGTACAAAGCATTAAGTATGTTTTAAGATTTTCAAGTGTACAATTAAGAATAAAAATATTTTTAAGTTAAGTAACGTACGTAATCTACGTATCTATTATTATATTATCAAAATTAAATTAAAGTTATTGACTTGACCACGAATATGTGACCTTGGCGCCAAAGCTGGATCCGCCCCTATGTCCATGGAAGTAGTAGAGCATCCAAACGCAGGATTAGCAACCGCCCGAGCTTCTTTGTTCACTTCAAAGTTAACTGCCATCTTTCGATATTCAGTATAGGATTAAAAATTAGAATTCATTAACAGTTTTTTTACGGATAGCCCATTTATTGAAGAATATTATAGGCTATAAAACATCACTAGACATAATACTAGACTTACGTCTCTAGTTGTAATCAGGTGTTTTTATAATCTTGTATCAGCAAAAATGGTACACGCAGCGCCATCTAGTATCGCGTTAAGGAGAATTCTGCACAATGGAAATATCGGTTCTCCTGGTTTGCTCTTTTGTTATTTTATCGATTCCATTTCTGAAATATTTCCGCTTTGATTGATTAATAATTAATCATAATAATGTAAGTAAGTTAATTGTTTTGAAAAATAAATGAAAAGTATAAGAAAATGTAATAGTACCTACTTAATATTATTTTATCCAATCATCTCAACCAATCTCAAGAATTATAAAGTTGAAGAGTTTTTGAGTGTTTGAACGCGCTAATCTCTGAAACTACTGGTTCGATTTCAATAATAAACAAAAGACAAAAACAAGCTTTTTGCAACTTAGTATTCATTTTATCACGCTAGGGTAGGAGTAGGAACAGAACTGTGAGTGAAACTGCGCGGGAGGCTAATTATTTACTTAAAATTATTTTTATTATTTTCAGACATATTGTTTGCACGTCGAGGACCTACCGAATAGTACTGGAGAAGTACCATCTATACCTGATTTGATAATTAATCGGTGTACAGGACAAACAAGTACTAGCAACAGTGATTGTAGCGACAGTAGTGATGATGACAGAATATCAGTAAGTTATTAACCAATAATAAGTAAACTTGATATTAAAACTTACGTATTAACTTTTAATAATTCTGTTATTTTTACAGTCCAACGTAATTATGAATGAAAGGAGACGACAATTACCAAACAGATTTGTGCCCCAACCGGTAGTCAATGGTTCTGGACCTGCGCCTCTACCGATAGCCAATGGAGCTGCGCATCAACCGATATTTAACATAAACAGACCTGCTGCGTCGCACCCTATAGTAGCCAATGGAGCTGCGCCCCACCCGTTGGCCAACGGAGTTGCGCCTCAACCGATATCCAACAGACATGCTGTGCCCCATCCTATGGCCAATGGAGTTGCGCCTCAACCGATATCCAACAGACATGCTGTGCCTCATCAGATGTCCAACGGAGTTGCGCCTCAGCCGATATGCTACAGACAAGCTTTGCCCCATCCAATGGCCAACGGAGTTGCACCTCAGCCGATATGCTACAGACAAGCTTCGCCCCACCCAATGGCCAACGGAGTTGCGCCTCAACCGATATACAACAGATATGCTGCGCCCCACCAGATGGCCAGCGGAGCTGCGCCTCAACCGATATTCAACAGACATGCTGCACCACACCCAATTGCCAACGAAGCTGCGGTCCGTCCGATGGCCAATGGAGCTGCAATTCAACCAATATTCAACAGACAAGCTGGGTCCCCTAATGGACAATGGAGCTGTGCCTCAACCGAGATTTAATAACCCTTCGATATATCCACCTCTACTTTACGGCCTTGGTCCCCCACCGGTAGTTTGTAGTTTAGCTGTTCAACCGGTCCAACCGGTCGTCGAAGGTCCTCCTTACCCACCGGAAGCTAATGAACCTATTTCCCCATCGATAGGTGACGACCCTGCTGCCCAACCAGTAGTTGATGACCCTGTACCCCCACAGGTAGTTGAAGACCCTGTTCTTCCACCGGTAGTTGATGACCCTGTTCCCCAACCGGTAGTTTATGACCCTGCTCCCCAACCGGTAGCTAATGATCCTGCTGCCCGACCAGTAGTTGATGACCCTGTACCCCCACAGGTAGTTGAAGGCCCTTTCCCCCCACAAGTAGTTGTAGACTCTGTTTCCCCACAGATAGTTGAAACCCTGCTGCCCACCGGTAATTGCTGATGCGGCTCCCTTACACGTAGTTAATGACCCTGCTGCCGCCCCGATAGTAGTTAACAGATTAGCAGCTCAACCAGAGTTAACGGTTGTGGTGTAAAACTGGTTGATTCCCCACCGGGAGACAACGGTCTTGCTCCGCTGTTAATTGTTAACGGCGACATTACCCCACCGATAAGTAACTGCCTTGCTTCTCCACCGGTAGACAATGGCTCTGTCCAATCGATAGTTAAGGAACCTGATGTCATATTGATAGATGACAGTTCTACTTCCCCACCGATAGATACACCCAGCAATTCCCGAAATAACAATACAGATGACGAGAGTGCAGAAAAAAAACTCTGGAAGCGACTACAGAAAATAAAAAAAATTGCAAAGGTTATTGATACGCAATTGCAAAATTATACGCAAACAAAAGATGACCTGACTACGTCATCTGAAGAAATTAATGAAGAAAATATCGTTAGTATTGAACAAAGGCAGAGTGACACACAAGTAAGCTTAAATAATTTACCTCGGAAGAAGACAATGAGAGTATGGGTGTAGAAATAGGAGTACAAGAAGAGGAAGGTGGAGAAAAACAAAAGGAAAGACGTTGTAGATCGAAACGAAAGGGCTCTCTGGCGAGTCAAGTTTCAGACGGTTCGAAGTCTTACCTCAAGCGGCGCAAAATGTTACCTCATACTTCTTTTAGTAGTATCCGTAAGAAATGCAACAATCTGGTAAGAACTTTTTCTGCACTTTGCACATAACTACTGATTACATCGAGTTTTTATAAACCACTTAATTTTCTGGTCATCAGGTTGAAATCGGGGCAGGTTTTGCAAAAGTACCAGGATGTATAATGACTTCGATTGACTGGACTTCATATAGTTTAGCGACTCGACAATTATTGCTATCAGTTTTTCCAAGAAGGTATGTAATTAGTTATTCCCCACACCATCAAAAATATATCTACTATATAAAAATAAGTCGGGTTTTCCTTCCTGATGCTATAACTCCAGAACGCACGAACCGCTTTCCACGGTTTTGCATTCGTTGGAAAGGTCTCGGGCTCCGTGTGGTTTATAAAATATAAAACAAAAAAATCTTCACGTAAAACGAAGCCATCTGGTGGCGAAACGGAGTTCGCCGAGTTTGCTAGTTTATATTAAAAAATTTCATTATCACTACATAGTATAAAACAAAATAGCTGTCCCTATGTATGCTTAGATCCTTAAAATTACGCAACGGATTTTGATGCGGTTTTTTTATTCTTAAACTGTCAAACACCAAGCGGTCACCGGTGACCGCGACCTATTGTTCTTTAATTGTGTCTATAAAACCGGTACTCGACGAGTTAAGGGAAGGTTTGTATGTATAAAGTCAAAGTCAAAAGTCAAAATCATTTATTTCAATTAGACCAGAAAGGCACTTTTGAATGTCAATAATAAAATTAAAAGTGAAGCTATTTGCTCATTCCAAGGTGTAGATTCTTATGGAGAAGAACGAGCAAGAAACTCCATAGGTTACTCTTTTTCAATCAGGTCCACAATACAATTCTCTAGTTACATAGTTTGCTGTTTGGATTGTGCGAGAACAATGTAACACTAAAATCTAGTCAAAGTGATTGAATATTTATATAATACATGCATATTGCACTCGTCCGAAGCCGGAACGGGTCGCTAGTATTAAAATAAATCAGAAGTAGTCGATTATAAATGACAATGACCAAAGGGCATTGACTAAAATTGGTGCCTTTCTTTTTTCTGGCGGCAGTCGATGATTTATGGAAAATATTATCTAGAATGTCATTACAAACGAAATTGTCTATGGGCTCATATATGGAAATCCCAGTCTGGACTGAGTTATGAGCGTTGAAAGGAGCTGGAATAAAACATTTTACTTTCGTTTTTTTATTCAAATTATTCATATTTTTGTCACAATTCCTAACTTCAAAATGCGCGCCACTGTACGCCCGGAACAGAAACACCAAATCACACAACAATATATCCATATTGCCAGTCGCTAATTTTTATTAGCTATTTTCTCTCAGTCGACAACTTGTAGGATGCTTCTAGGAGTTGTGTCGAGAAGCTTCATGAGTGTCAGCTGTGGTACCATTGGTGGGTTGAGTAGTTGTAGCCGTCCAAACATCTAATAAAGTATTTTTTTTTGCCGTTGACTCCTGGTGGCGACTCATCTACTTTGTAGTTAGCATAATTTTTTGAAGAAAGCAAATCGTCGACTTTGTAAAGTGATGGACTATACGTCAGATGAGCGCATAATTTTTTCATATAATGTGATCATTCGAAATGCATCACTTTATATGAAACGATGTCTATGTACAGAATCTTATGCTAGCTGTAGATTAAAGTATTAACTGTAGTTAGAGTAGTTACTATTCGGAATTAAGACGGAGAAGTAGAGAGAAAAATGAATTTTTCGTGTTTTGACGACTGCCGCTAGGTACTCAATCCGCTACCGACGCCGCAGCTGATAAACATAGCATTTCATGATAGGGCTCAGTAAAGTATTTTGCGGGTTTTCGACTGAGAGGATATTGATCATTAAAATCTGTCATAGGCCATAAACCATAACATATAACGTGAACACACTAGCCAATCAAGCGAAATTTTTTTTTACTTCAGCAGTGGCCAGTTAATGGTTCACTTTAATCTGATTCCGAGCGCTTATAGAACAAAAAAAAAATGAAACCAAAATTACAAAATATTTTTGACAAGTGTAATAGAAGAAATATGCGTTGTATACGGTCACCATCAACAAAATAAGAGGAATAGTATAGCACTATTTTCAAATCTTTGAACTGATTTAACTCGGTTCAGACTGAATTTTTGATATAAGACCCCATATATTTTTTTGTTTGTAATGTTATTCTGCATCAGTTTTTCCACATCCGATCAACTGCCGCGAAAAAATGAAAAGGCACCACGCTCCATACAAATTTGGTCATTGTCATTTGTATGGAGCGTGGTGCCTTTTCATTTTTTCGCGGCAGTTGATCGGATGTGGAAAAACTGATGCAGAATAACATTACAAACAAAAAAATATATGGGGTCTTATATCAAAAATTCAGTCTGAACCGAGTTAAATCAGTTCAAAGATTTGAAAATAGTGCTATACTATTCCTCTTATTTTGTTGATGGTGACCGTATACAACGCATATTTCTTTATTACACTTGTCAAAAATATTTTGTAATTTTGGTTTCATTTTTTTTTTTTTTCTATAAGCGCTCGGAATCAGATTAAAGTGAACCATTAACTGGCCACTGCTGAAGTAAAAAAAAAATTTCGCTTGATTGGCTAGTGTGTTCACGTTATATGTTATGGTTTATGGCCTATGACAGATTTTAATGATCAATATCCTCTCAGTCGAAAACCCGCAAAATACTTTACTGAGCCCTATCATGAAATGCTATGTTTATCAGCTGCGGCGTCGGTAGCGGATTGAGTACCTAGCGGCAGTCGTCAAAACACGAAAAATTCATTTTTCTCTCTACTTCTCCCGTCTTAATTCCGAATAGTAACTACTCTAACTACAGTTAATACTTTAATCTACAGCTAGCATAAGATTCTGTACATAGACATCGTTTCATATAAAGTGATGCATTTCGAATGATCACATTATATGAAAAAATTATGCGCTCATCTGACGTATAGTCCATCACTTTACAAAGTCGACGATTTGCTTTCTTCAAAAAATTATGCTAACTACAAAGTAGATGAGTCGCCACCAGGAGTCAACGGCAAAAAAAAATACTTTATTAGATGTTTGGACGGCTACAACTACTCAACCCACCAATGGTACCACAGCTGACACTCATGAAGCTTCTCGACACAACTCCTAGAAGCATCCTACAAGTTGTCGACTGAGAGAAAATAGCTAATAAAAATTAGCGACTGGCAATATGGATATATTGTTGTGTGATTTGGTGTTTCTGTTCCGGGCGTACAGTGGCGCGCATTTTGAAGTTAGGAATTGTGACAAAAATATGAATAATTTGAATAAAAAAACGAAAGTAAAATGTTTTATTCCAGCTCCTTTCAACGCTCATAACTCAGTCCAGACTGGGATTTCCATATATGAGCCCATAGACAATTTCGTTTGTAATGACATTCTAGATAATATTTTCCATAAATCATCGACTGCCGCCAGAAAAAAGAAAGGCACCAATTTTAGTCAATGCCCTTTATTCATAGATTGCTACAAAGCATTGCATGGTCATCAAGGATGGTCATCAAGTCAAATTGTGCTTTTGCTTATATAATCCAATGGGACCCAGGTGTAACTGATTACTGAATACAGCGTAAAATAATAATATATAAAACTTATTTTCAGTGCTCTAGCCCAATATTCGCTTCTTGGGACGCAGCCTTCAATTTACATGAAGAAGCAAACACAGAGAGTTTTGAATCCACTACTCGTCCAGGATATTGTGAGAACAGTAGCCGCAAAATGTAATGTTCCCAAGGATTTAGTGAGGTAACTTCTATAATATGTTATTTTTACTTTAAAATACTGTAGCTCCGTGGTAGCTCTATACTATTTTCTGGTTTCGTGAATGCTTACCTAGTGCATAAATAATAGCGAATAAATAACAAGACCAGAATCCTTGTGGATAGAGTCTTCCTTCATGCTCAGACGTTTTAAAACTTTTAAAAGTGGTCTCTGTAAAATACGTCTTGTTGTGTTGGTTAATAATGTAATATTTATAGCTGCAGGACTAACATTTGTATGCCTATTGTTAGACGAAGAAAATCAACTAAATGAACATCGCTAGTATAATCTGTGTTCAACAGCACTAGCTATCATGTTGAATATGTCATCTGTCAAATATACATACATCACAGACCTACTATAGGTCTGTAACATACATAAACGTAGGTCTGTGACATACATAAACTACACAGATTAGTAAAGTTTCCCGCGCACAGAGGTGTTTAGAATGCCCTATAATGGTGGGAAGTTTGACGAGCATTCAAAGACCTTACGAGCATTACGCTGTTTTCTTAAAAGTCTCCGTTTAGAATAATATTTTAATACTGAAGTATTGACTTTTACTTAAAACTACAAACTTCCCGCAGTGAAAGAGAGTTAGCAAAGACTCCATTATAACCATCCTCAGCTAGAATTTGTCCACTGTTAAACAAAGCCTTACCCTCTAAACCGAGGGCTGGGCTTGCTGCCATTACAGCGGTAAGTCCCCTCTTTGAGGATTGGCTTGAGAGACGCTACAGCGTCCTCACCTACCGCCTGACGCAGGTCCTCACCGGACGTGGAAGTTTCGGGAGGTACCTGTGTGAGTCTGACACTCCCTCCCGCCTCACCCAGGCGGGAGCAGTCATTCTATGATTTTCCCACCTTAAAAAAACCTTCTTAAATAGGTTATCAAACGTTCGGTTTGGTTTGCTTTTTTGAATTCAATAATTATTAAAAGCAGTGGACGTTTTCAGACTGTTGATGTTGGTGATGATGATAAATAAATAATTAAACAATTCTTTTTCTGGTTACAGAAAATGCATTAAAGAAAATTGCAGAGAGGAAATACGAATATTTCGTAAAAATCAACGGAAAATGAAGCATAAACAGCGACAACAAACCGACGATTATGTCCCTTCATCTTCCAATAATTCTGCATCAGAGGAAATAGTAGTCCATGAAATATCGGACTAATTTTGTACTTAGTAACAAAATTGCCCATTGAGTAACCGGTAGGCATAGATACTGAAATATCTAGGTGTGTAGGTATAAATAATAGGTAAACCTTACGTAATGCTGTATACCATTCTCGTCTTCGTTCTTTTCCAATATATCGCCTATTTGGTCTACGACGCGCGACGCCCTCTACTGACTACTCTATGCATTCTCGCTTGAAATCTTTTTCGTTGTCTGTTAGCATCCGTTCTTTCACGATGACCTAGGCAAAACCTATCTGACCAACTCCAACTTAGGTAGGTAGTACTTCTTTATAACTTCCTATCTCAATTGGACTGAAAATGTATTACTTACAAAAAGATATTGTATAAAGAAAATTTTACGAAAATGTTTAATACAACCTGAATCATGAGCTGAATAGTATAATAATGATTGCTTAAACTTTGTGTAGATGTTTATATTTTAAAAGTAATTTGTATTTTTAAAAGTTTTGACGTAGGTACTTATTTTATATTTATGTACATTGACAGACGATCGTATTGATGATTAGGAATACAAAATAAATAATGTAGATGTAGATTGTTAATTTTAATACAAATATTAAGTAACTAATTACGTTACAAAGTAAGTACCTAACTATTTGTAAGATTAATAAAGACGTCAGTTTCCAGTTCGGAAATGTATTATAAAATATGCGTTTTATTTTGTAAAATATGTACCAATATCCTAATTAAAATCATACGTTATCAGAAATGTTACTGAGAATTACATAAAGCCTGAAATTTATTTCCTAAATGTAGGTTGCTGTCGCGGAGAACCTAACGGGTAACCGGGGCTCCGGCTCGACGTGCAGGAGAAGGAACGGGATGGTTTTTAGTCAGTAAGAGTCTGACACTCCCTTCCGCCTCACCCAGGCGGGAGCAGTCATTCGATGATTTTCCCCCCTTAAAAAAAAAATGTAGGTTGCTCGAATACGAAGTTCAACACTCGCAACCATTCGAGCATGAAAAGCAATTTCGATGAGAATATAGCTAACGCTAAGAAATCTAATAATAGAATAGATGTAGGTACCTAAACAACTATTATACGTATCTACACTTGGACAGTCTACCTTTTCAAGTGATCTTAGTGATGCGCGGCTACTGAACTAGAGGTCTCAGTTTCAATAGATATCCTTGTTGAACAAAATTTTATTGAGATTTCGGGTTAGAAAATCGTAAAGTTATTTAAAAGTTGTAATAACTGTAAATCCGAGGTGAAACTGGCTGTAAATTAATTATTATGAAACACATTTAGTCTTACAGCTATGACATTTTGTGTAGGCGCTAAGTTAGTATAACATCACTACATAGTACTTATAATACAAAGTCTATCTGCCGTCTGTCTGCCCCTATGTTTGCTTAGATCTTTAAAACTACGCAACGGATTTTGATGCGGTTTTTTCAATATATAGAGTGATTCTTATAGAAGATTTATATACATAATACATGCATATTGCACCCGTGCGAAACCGGGGCGGGTCGCTAGTGTTGTTTATAATAAAAGTACGAAATTGTTGTTTTTCCATTTTGTGATTTAATGTCTGTAGTCCAATCCACTTGCAATACTAATCGTAAACAGAAAATAAACTCCAAACGGCCGTACTGATACCAACTAAATAAAACGGTACAGTGAGAGCGTATGGGCTAAGTTCTATAAAGTAACAAGCTTAATTTGTCATGTACCTAGAACACTAAGAAAAAAAAAGTACATTTTTAATCTAATATCTCGCCTGGTGGTAACCGATCATGCAGTCTACGATAGGGCACGTCGTCCCATAAGCAACCTATTCACTCGGGCCTTGAAGACACCCAGGTTATACTCTCCAGGAAATATAGACTCTGGCAAAGAATTCCACTCCTTAGCAGTACGTACAAAAAAGCTTGATGCGAAGCGCTTCGTGCGTGTGGGTGGGACATCTACCATGTCGCTTTGCCGATTGTCTTGCGGTACACACGGCCACATATCAATCCATACAAAACCAGTTTATCCTGGTGTCGCGTCGCATCATCTTTCCGCACATTTAACGTTCAGTTTATACTGATTATGTAAAGCTCAATGTGTAGCCGTGTGTACGATGATGGAATGGACTAGGGGGAATCAAGTTGTGCAATTCCCCCGCACACTCACTGACATTTATCCGGTGGAAAACCGAAGGGCTTGCAACCTTACGCTTGTGTTCGAAGCTTTGAAGCTCCACAAGCGCATCATCGTTAATAAGCCTCTTGGCACGCCTCTCGATGTGCTCTAACGCGTCCAGCTGATATTTAGCCGAACCGCTCCAAACATGTGAACAGTACTCCATACAGACCGAACCTGTGCTTGGTACAGGGTCAGCAATTGTTTCGGCATGAAGAACCATCTCACCTTCCATAGGATACTCAACTTCCTACCAGCCAGTTGCGCTTTCGACTCTATTAAGAGCCAAAATTCAGTGTAGGCGTCAGAGTTACGTCAAGAAGCTCATGATTATCAGTTATCGGAATGGAAACATTCTGGAAAGTAGGAGTCAGTCAGCGGAAATTGACTACATTTAGCGTAGAATAAGCACGCCTGGGTTTTGCTAGTGTTGAACATGAGCAAGTTGGCGTCATCCCAGTCGAAGACCGCCACCAAGGACGATTTTAAACGTTCGACCACGGATTCTCTTAGAGACTGGATCTGTATCAGGGCCGTCACACTTACAGCTTACAAAATCGGACCGTCAACTACATCTAGTTTTCGAACCCGAAATTAAATGTTGTCAAAACTAATATTTTCAATGGCCACACAGTTCCAACCAAGGTTGCAACATTATTTTAAAATTTAGGGTTAAAATAATATTTTCTGGAAATAGTAAAATAGCATTATACACATTTATTTAATACTATATTGCAATTTTTACAAATTAATCCCTATACATAAATCAAATGACAGTTATGCTGGCATAATCGTTCAAATATAACAGCCTCTTTACTAATAATAGACATTAAAAAGATATGTGTATAGATATGTGATACAAGCACTGATATGATATATCTATGGATACAAGTGATGGATGACCAAAGAAAAGAGTATAATAAGTATAGGGGCGATGACAAACTAAACTCTATGAAGTGACCCCCTATACTTATTATACTCTTTGAAAGTGACTGCGTCACGTTTCTGTATCCAAAAGCATTAACCTAAGAGCCTGTGAACCTCAGGTCTAGGCCACCGTTTTTATTATATAAAAACTAATATTATATGAAAATAATCAATTTTCATAGAAAATCTATAAAATGGGTTCCACGCATTCTTTCTGTCTCCCCCTATCAAACACACACACACACACACATTCACACACACACTTAACCTTCCTCGATAAATACACTAACTAACACTAAAATGAACTTTAAACTGTCAAACACCAAGCGGTCACCGGTGACCGCGACCGGTGACGCGTCTATAAAACCGGTACTCGACGAGTTAAGTCCATTTTTAGTCTGGAGCCTTCTTGCACGGTTTGCAAATCTGAACTAAACGCATTAAACATAGCTGTTAAAATGGTTCTAGACAGCGACTAGAGTAAGAGTATTTTTTATATTTTTTTTAAGGGGGGAATCTATCTAAAGTGGATCCATTTCTGGTCGCAAACTTCTTTGCATGTAACCCTGACTTTTGTTCTACAGAGTTTCGGAATGTAAAACTTCCGAGTAAGTAACGATAAAGTACATCATTTCTATTTGGGCAAGTCGTTTTGTGTAATTCATAAATCACTTACTTTAAAGGAGAACAGCAGATTTCGTACCGCCTTGCCAAAAAAGTTTAGTTATTGTTTTTCCTTAAAAAGATGGGCAATTATAGAATCCCTTAAATACGTTATATTAACATATTTAACAGACTAGCTTTTACCCGCGGCTTCGCTCGCGTCACAAAAAGATAAAAAGTAGCCTATGTGACTATCCATCCCTTCAACTACCTTCAGTTTAAAAATTCGTTAAGTACCTCCGTTTTGCCGTTTAAGACAGGCAAACAAACAAATAGCTGTTCGCTCGCGTGGAAATTCGGTTATATCGCGCATTTTTTAGATTTTTCCTTGGGAATGAGAAGTTCAGACGCCATCTATCGAGCGTTGAAACAACAGCGTACAATATATTTGCTAATTGTTGAGTATTGTTGCCACTATGATTTCGTGTACCTTTAACAACCTAAAATCTATAAAATACACAATTCAATGTAAAATGGTAGGAACCAAAATTTAAAAGCGAAAAATACTTAAGAAACACAACGCTACCCCGTTTTTTAACACGCAGCGCCATCTATCGCCAAGTAGCGTAACTACTACACAACGTTACCACGTTGTGTTTTTTAAGTATTTTTACATATAAAACAGCAAATAAATGAGTCGAAAAGTGCACCGAATAAGTGTAGATGAACACCAAATAAGCGCTATAGATTAAAGCGTGAAATTTCCAATTAGTAGGTAATTCGTTAAATTGTTTTAATGGCATACAGCGCCATCTATACGAATACACACAGCGCCATCTATATTAATATTTTTGTATTCCCTCGGGAATATCACATTTTTCCAGGATAAAAGTACCCTATATTTTAATCTGGACTTCAAACTTTACGTTTGCAAAATTTCAAAGCAATTGGTTCAGTAGTTACGGCGTAAAAGCATAATAAACAAACTCACTTTCCCATTTATAATATTAGTAAGGATAGTAGTATAACATAAATAGTGAAAAGTGGGTGTTACTTCTATGTGCACCTCTGCCTACCCCTTCGGGGATAAAAGGCGTGATGTTATGTGTGTAAGGATAGTAAGGATTTTTAGAACTTGGGAAACTTATACTCAATAATGATAAAATACAATCAACAAAAGGTTTCCTTAATAAAAACAAACCGCGATTGACGTTTACAAAGTTACCAGCAATAAAAATTGAATGTGTCACTACTTATTTCATAAACTCATTTACTTTAATACCTATCAATGAAACATTTTCCTTTTTAATTCTAACTTTTTATATGTAAATCTACATGGATTCCTAACGATAATTACCATTTTAACAAACTTGAATAGGGCAATGTTGAACTGATATTTTTAGTAGTAAATTACTACTTAGAATTACTAAGTAGTAATCTATGGTAATAATTCTAAGTAGTCTGTGGTCAATGGCGGTTTTCTATTGGTTTCAAATACGGTGTTTTATGATTTGTTTGTGCAATTTGAAGTAATTTTATTTGGTGATACGTTGAGTTGAGCATCCGTTCCTCCGTAACCCAAATTGATAATATTGGCATTATTGTGCGAAAAGACGCTATTAATAGTACTGTTGTAATAATTGCGAAAAGACGCTTATTTTGACTTGTGCGTAGTGTATTGGATTTCGACGCGATGTCGAATTTAAAATGCATTAATTGCCAGTTGAATTTGTTGCGCATGAGACGGCATGCTCTTGGAGATGAGAGTGAAGACGTGGTCAACACTATCCGATTGTGGACTTATCCTAGAAATGTAAGTACCTATTTATACATGACGTATCGAAAGTGCTTGTTGCCTAAATAAAAGAAGGCGCAGAGTGTTATCTATCCATAATGTATCATTTTATTCTAGATCACTCTTACCGACCATATTTGCCATGCTTGCTGGCAATTAGTTACGTATCGGGATGTTCCTGACAGTAAGCCCAGCAAGCAAATCGGTCATCGGCATGTCTGTGTCGTATGTGGGCGTTCCATTGCTAGGAGAAGTCGTCGCAGAGTTTTAATTGCAGGGGCCAACGAACAGGAGCAAAGACTGGCTCATATAGTATCTGATTGGATTCAGCCACGAGAGGTAATAAAACTATATTTTTACCATACTATTACAAAATACTATTATTATTTACTGTGTTATTTGAAGTTAATAAGACGTTCTAATAATATTATTTCTTTTAGCTAAGTTCCCATGATGAAGCCTGTGTTCCATGCTGGCTCAAAGCTCGTAGAAGAGCCGGAACTATAAGACCACAACCTGATGTGCGTCTTCCTGTCATACCACCTCATGGTGTTCTCTATCAGGACGTAATGTGTGCTGTATGTGGACAAAGCCTTACTTCAGTATTGCCATATGTTAAACAGTTGAGGCCAGAAGATATTGCTCGGCTGTCAGAGCTACGGCAGGTATGTATACACTACACATAATAATATACCTACATAATTATGTATCTATAGTTAGCAGATAACCAGTTATGGAAGGCTTGTACTCATGTTATAGCTGTCGCGGAGAACCTAACGGGTAACCGGGGCTCCGGCTCGACGTGCAGGAGAAGGAACAGGGTGGTTTTTAGTCAGTAAGAGTCTGACACTCCCTTCCGCCTCACCCAGGCGGGAGCAGTCATTCGATGATTTTATCTTATCAGTAGTATAGTAGTACTCAGTATTAGTTATGAAACTAATATTTGCTGCTCCTGGGGCAAACCGTAGTGTGCCTTCCACATAATAGAGATAAATGGAGTATTACACAGATGGAGTATTACACAGAAATCATGTTAAAATTAAAACCAGTTGTTCTGGAAAGTAGCATGTTCAAACAAATAAATAAGCAATGTGTCTTTGGCTCTATCTATAATATTGAAAATTAGTTATAGTTTATTTCAGTCTACCTCTTTAGGTAATAAAGGGTGTAATGTTTTGTGTGTATGTATGAATGAATGAATGATTGAATGTATGTAGTTAATTAATTAAAGTTGTTGTTTAATTACATTGTTTTAGGAGCTCCTACGATATGTGTTATAGGAATACCCTATTATAGGCATTTTAACATTGTAAGATCAATTAATTAAAACAAATATTTATTTTACTCTAGGAAAAAATGTACTTTTGTTTACTTCTTTTATAGTTATCTCACTTATTTACAGATATCAGCAGTTCATGAAGTGTGTGCAGTATGTTGGGAACAGGCTCAAGATGTAGTGCCACAGACTCCAAGATCTCAAGAGCCTGAAACTGAAAGCCCTCAACAAACTGCTACTGGACTTCGAGATACAGATATTCCTCAAGTAACTGAAAGGCGACGTGTTGAACGGCCTCAGTATATCACATTGCCAAATATGAGACGAGCAGCTGATACACCTAGGCACTGTATTTTTCATGAATGTAGAAACATTGAGCGCCACACAATTCCTCAAAAAGTAAGGTATAGGGTTTTGCAACAATTTCAATATTATATTCCAAATAGTGCTCGTATTTGTACAGAACATTTGCAAGAGGCAGATTTTCAAAATCTTTATTCAGCCGAATACAGTATGAAGACTTTTACTGCAACACACATTGAAGATATAATTTTTATTCTGATGGAGATTAAAAAATAAATATTAATTATGAAAATATTCAGGATTATCCGGACAACCAAGTGAAATATTTCATTGGCATTACAAAGGACCAACATCAACATATATTGAATGCAACACCCCGGTTAAGGAATATGCATCGGGGTAGCTTTGCATTAACTGTACTTTTGTGCAAACTGAGAACAGGAGACTCTGGGGACAGATTATCTTGTTTATTTCAAGTTCCAAGAAGAATGTTGGAAATATTAATGTCCACAGCAAGATATATTTTGTATTCTGACTATGTGGTTCAATTTCTAGGGCTTAATCATTTCACAAGGGAGCAAATGATTACAAAATCGTTATACAAGTTGTTGTTTTAAAGCCGCGTCATTTTCTAGGACGTAACTCGGCTATCGATTCTGAGTCCGAATCAATAAAAAAAATTGCAGGTAAATATTTTTCTGAAATTACGGAAATCCGTAAGTGCGAAGTACACGCCGCCGTCTTGTAACTAGCTTTATTACGCGGCTTAACACACACAAACTCAAACACGTTATTGATATTATTCCTAATTCCATAAAACTTCAATAAGAAACATTGCTGTCCCTTATTCTGAAATACTGTCGAACTTAAACGATTTATTATAGCCGAATTTTTAACTATTGGCCCGAAATTTTCTCTTACATTGAACCTTTATGACTTCTGTGACATGCCCCCGAGAAATGGTACTGTTTCAAAACTACACCTTGTATATAGCTGACCATATTTTTGGTGTACAGTCACGAGTTACACACATGCACACGCATATTTATCCGTGTGAGTGATGTTCACACGGCAAGTAATTTCATATGTGCATAAAAACATTCGTCCATCACGCACACATTGGTGTTCAATATTACCTATCTTAGTGACGGTATACGTATCAATTCAGTAAATGAGTGTAAATAAAAATGAGGGTAAAGGTAAAAATAATATGTAACAAACATTGAATAAATTGAATAATGAACGATTGAGCTACATACTACATAATCATACCCAATAAATACAATATAGTTTTGAATGACATCAAATATTTCACAATGCATCATAGATGCAAGCTTGGCGCAGTGGTTATCGCATGAGACGGTGACGGGTCGCAGGTTCGATCCCAACATAGACACTGGTGTTTTTGAGTTTATTAAATATTTTTTAAACATTATTTAATACAAAATTTCTATTTTTTTCAATACCTGAGTATAAAGTTTACCATGTTCGAGGTAACTACGAAACTCTCAAACAACAATTTTATTTGATCCGTTTATGAAGTATAGACAAAATAAAATAAACCTTATTTATACAGAAGTAACATTCATAATTGTTAATCAATATGAACAAAAACTTAAGTAATGTTTGATTATAATCACACATATTATTTTATTACTTAAATATTAAGTAACTACTATCCTATACTAAACCTACCTATTGTGATTGTGATATTAGTAACTATGTGATATAAAGAGAAAACAATAAAGACTGACTATTCTAATAACGTTTTTTTTACTTTTCCGTCAAAATATGAGCCTTGTAAGGAAGTTTCGGTTTCGGCCGAAATAGACACCGTTGCCGAAATTCAGTTTCGGTTGTAAAACTGGTTTCGGTCGGACACTAGTTATTTACGAAGTAATTTTAAACAATACAGCCTTAATCCCTATCCAATTAAGTACTTTAAATAAATTGTGCATTTATCATAGATCAATATGCTTTTACAGCGTGTAATTTGAAGTGAATATTTCCAAAGATATTACAAATTTAAAATGCAGGGACGTATTTGTTGCGGCGTTGATGCCCGCGTTTCGTCCTAAAGCACTTCATGACTTGCAACGGTCGCACGCGTTTATCGGAGCTCTCTAGCGGGGAGAGTATCAATATAAAACATGTTTGTATTGTCTAATGACAAAATAGCTGTAAACGTGGTGTATAAGTACAATTTGTAGTAGTATTTTTACATCAGTATTGCAGTGCGAAGCCGGGGCGGGTCGCTAGTACTAATATAAATACTAATTTGTTAAAGTTACAGCCGCTATGTCCCCCGACATAGAATTATCTATCCAACCTCTTGAGGATTTTTAATATTTTTTTCTTCTATATGGCTTAAGTCAGGGAACCGAGCTGGCCAAGAAATATTTTTATTTCAAGATGATTGCTAAACCATACACGAACGATACCGGCACAGTAAATGGGACAGTTGTCTTGCACAAAACTTATCTCTTACGTCTTCGCAGGGTAGACATATTTGTAGGCAAGATACTAGTAACATCGTTCAACATTTCCACACATTTAACACTGTTGGCTCACGTTGAAATAAAACTTAATTGATCAGGCCCTTGAGCACGTATCCACCCCCACATATTCACTATTCTCAAAGTCCAAATATTCCCGGGAAAAACGCAACCTCTCCTCTTTAGGCCGTTGCGTGACAAACGGTTTTTTAGCTGGCGTTCGGAGACTGCGGCGAACGGTGCGTGCTGATGTTCCGAACTCATCAGCAAAACGCCTTGTTGGGATGAAACCATTCGTCACATATTCAACTACCATATAACGTCGCCGAAGTAGGCTAATAAGAAAGGGTTTTCCACTCTTAACACGACTCTTCAGACTACCTTCTTCCAAATTTCTTTACCCAAAGCCTCATAGTCTCTCTAAAAAAACATAAATATTACACACTTACAACAAGCAATTTATCTTTATTATTTTGCAGGTCATCATCACAAAAAGTAAAAAAATTACTTACGCATAAGCTGGTTTCATTCGATATTTAAGATATATTACGACCATCCGAATATACGGCCACAATATTTGCCTTGATTTCAATACTAATGGTCGCTATGTTCACCAATCAATAACAGCGAATACCAGAATAATTTATGTGAGTAGTAAATTGGTTAAAATATGAGGGTCGATTTAAAGCGAACTTATCACTTTGTTCAAATCTACCCTCACATTTTAATAACGACGCTAAGATAAAAATATAAAAGGTCATAAGCGCCACTAATATTGCTATGTAAGTGTTTTGACATTGGAAGTCCACTTCAGTCCGTGAGTGTACCTGAAGCACCCCTTGATCAAAAGCCAATGATTACCATAGCTGATAGCACATACATATACTTACAAAAGAGTAGCAATTATTTATTCCAAAAAAATACGTATTCTCTACACAAATATAGGAATTTGTTGGTTAAAACCATTATAATCTTGTGTACTAGTAATGGATATATTATATAGATGTACGTGGACCTTATAGTGCCACCACTAATGATGCTGCCAGTATGCTGGAATTATTAAATGATGCATCATTTAATGAAAATGAAAATAAATTTTATAAAGAAAATGACATTTTTGTTTTAGACCGTGGTTTTAGAGATTCTATGGATAGCGTGCACCATAAGGGTTACATAGGGCATATGCCAGAAAGGCTAAAAGAGGGTCATTCATAGGTAACTACCCTTCAAGCTAATAGATAACGCTGCGTGACTATCAATAATAGAAGGTAGTGGAAGCTGTGAACGGCCGGTTTAAAAGAGATTTTAAAATATTTCGTCATGAGTATTTTAACCGTGCCTGTCGTCATTTAATGAGTGACTTTAAAATAGCAGCTGCTCTGCTAAATGCTTTTTCCACACCTTTTACAGACAATAATAATGCAGAACAATTTGTATCTATAATTTTTGAGCGTCTGTATGATGTATAGCAGAAATAGTTGCTCAATAGAATTTAAACAGGCATGGTTCTTTTTTTTGTCAATAGATGGTACGACTACGCCCTTTCCATGGCTATCAGTCTATGGAAGAATTAACGTTATTTGCATGAGGTATTTACCAAATAAGGCAGGCACGCTCATAGATTGGTGAACATTTCCGGTTCCATGGAATCTATACTTTAGAAGTGTCACATGAAAGGGTAAATGATTTAGCAGGAATTGATCCTATATTGCTAAGAGGTAAAATAAAATTCTGACATTCATCAAGCAAAACTTATTTTGTATATATTGTAGTAGAAAATAATATGAATGGTCGGGAAGCGATAAATAGTTTTTGTTGTAATTGAATTATTGGCTTAAGAACTGTGGGGTGTTGCTCACATGTAATGAGTATTATATGGTACTTAAGTATGCTCGCCATGAGGGTATGACGCCGCCTGCTCCCTTTTTAGATGAAGTAGTCCAAGAAGTGCAATAAAATAAAAATATTTCAAAATAATACATTTGTTTTATTTTAAATAGGTACCTACCTAGTAACTATTTATTCCATCTTGATAAAGATAAAACGATTTTAATAAATGCCACTTTTTTATTTTAGATTGCATCAATTTTATTGCAAAAATGGTTAGTTTATTTTACTTATCCGACTTACTTATTAGGTCATGAAGTCTTATATGCGTGATAACTTGATAGGCAACCAGTTTTCAGAAGAAATGCAAGAGCAAGCAAGAGAAGAAATGCAATTATCAAAGAGCTAAGCTTAAGTTTAAATCTAATTAAAACTTGAGACTTTGTATATGTAAGGGCTCTGCCCCGAATCTTGATTTTACGCATAAAATCGCCTCTGCCCGCTAGATTCCAGGCAAAAGCCTTAAAGTATGACACTATTTATATATATCTCATTCACCACAAGAAATCCACTGCTGAATGTAGGCCTTCTACCCAGTGATAATGTCGCCTACAATAGGAATATGCATTTTCATAGGCACCTGGGAACTGAACAAGATCGTGAGACATACTCTAGAAAACTCTATAGGTACATCCCCTATACTTATTATACTCTTTGGGTACATCATCAACGAAGCGCTGCCTCCTCACAAACCAGCCATCGCGAAGGACACTCCGCGTGTCAATGTCAACTGTCAAGTATCTATCTGTCAATTCTGTCATTCGATTGTTTGTAGTCAATTTGTCAAACTTCGAGTCGAGAAGTGTGTGGTATTTTGTAGGTTATAAAATAAAAGTGAGATCACGTTTTAATTCATTTTAATAAGTGTGTACACAATATAATTTTGATAAAATGGAAGACATTGAAGATACAGATTTAGTAGCTTTGGAACATGATCGTTTAATAAGTGCTGTGTCGAAGTTAGACAAAACGCAACACATAACAGAGCCAACACGAAATGAACCTACAAATCTTAATTCAGAGTTTAATTTAATTAAAAGAACAAATAAACTGAATATTGACAACGTTGCTAAAGTATTAGAGGACACTGCACACCATGTACAGATAAGTAAAAAACTTAAAAAAACACAAAGTGGGGCTAAGGTTTTGAGTAAACCACTGGAGAAGCCCCAAGCTGAGCGTATAAAACGAGCGACGGGCTATGAAGAGACGAAGAAGAAAGTAGGAAGATGGGACCCAGTCGTAGCAAGAAGTCGCACTGTAGATTATGTAACTTTCCCAATAAAACATGTATCTGCAAAGCTTGAACCCACATCTGACTTTTTGACTAAGTTTAAATTAAAATCTGAACTTGAAAAGGAATTAGAAGAAGTAGACCCCCAGCCGATGGTTGAGGATGAGGAGGAAGAAGAGCCAATCTTCCCCAAGAGTTATGAAGAAATGGTGGAATATAGACAACATCTGGCCAAAATGAGAGCACAGCAATCATATAAAGCTGCTAAGGCTAAAAGGCAAAGTAAAATTAAGAGTAAAAAGTTCCACAGGTAAGTGTGATTACATTGTACTAGTGTTATGAATGCCAATGTATTTTTGTTTATTTGTTTGTCTTTAAGATTATAATTATTTATTTGCGCTTCTAAATGAATTGTAGTGATCATAAATATAGATTGGCTACATCAACAACTTAAAAGTGGCCGCTGCTAAACTAACGCCTCTTCTTGCACGGAAGTTTGAGCATTAATCACCACGATTGCTTAACCCGTTGAAAATTGTTGAAAATCATCCCCTAAATTTGTTCATACAAAAGTAGTCTCTAAACATTGGAAATAAGGTCCATAATGTAGTTAGTGGAGTGGTCACCGATGACCGCTGGGGATGTACGGGTTGGCAGAGTGGTTAAACTGACTTTACATATTTAATGTTTTTATTATGGTTCACAGAGTTCTCAAGAAAGAAAAATTAAAACAAGAACTAAAAGAATTTGAGGAACTACAGAAGAGGGACCCGGAGGAAGCTTTAAAAAAACTGGAAGGTATTGAGAAAGCTAGAGCTTTAGAGAGACATACTTTGAGGCACAAGAGTACAGGCAAATGGGCTAAGAACAAGTTGATCCGAGCCAAGTATGATAAAGAGGTAATTAAAACTTATTTATAGACATATTATTTAGATATTAAAAACATTTTATGTAAGTATTAAAGTATTGTAGTGTGATTCTATAACCTTAATCAGTAATATAATCAGATACAAAATTATTCAGTTATTTAAACTTATTAAATCTTTTGAAGAAGCAACCATCCGTTTATTCTCTGTATGTCTTAGAACCAGAATTGAGATCACAACAGATATGTAAACTTATTTTACTACTATAATTTTTTTCAGGTAAGACAACAATTGGCAGACCAGCTATCTGTTGGCAGAAGCCTTACAAAGAAAGTGCAAGATAATCAGAGTTCAGATGATGAAGGTGATGATGAACCAACTCCTAATTTTACTTTGTCACAAGACCCCTTCAATCCTTGGATGGTACAAAGATCGGACAAATCTAATATTAATGCCGAATTTAACTTTGGTTATAAAAAATTTGTACAAAACAAATTGAACAAACATAAGGAATCTGATGACAGTGATAGTGACGAAAATGATGTAAGTGAGAAAGATATTTCAAATGAAAAGCCATTGAAGAATGAAAAGTCCACAAGTCCTGAACCAAAGGAAGAAAAGTCAACAGTAACTAAAGCAAATAAAGAAAAGACAGCGGCTCCTAAAACAAAGAAAGGAAAGAGGCAGCTGCCTGCTGCTAAATTGAAAGCGAAAAAGCCCCTTGCCACTTCAAATTGGGATGTAGAAACTGTTGATGACACTGATAATAAACCTAAAGATAATTTGGAATATCTTAAGCTCAAAAAGCAAAAAACGAAAGCAGTAATTGATGAAGAATTAATGGAAAGTTCATCTAAAACAGCTGAAGGAATGGCAAATGAAGAAAAAGATGAAACCATTTCTGAATTAGTAAAAGCTGCCCAAACTCCAGTCCAAGAATCTGCTGATTCTAATATTGATCCTAATAGATTCATTGAAGTTAAGCCTAAATATTTGAATACTGCTATTTCACAAGTTGAAAATGAATATGACCAGTTGGATGATGATCAAGTAGTACCTAGAGTAAACATAGAAGAGGTATTTGAAGAAGATGATGTTGTGGCAAGTTTCAGGCAAGAGAAAGAAGATGAAATAAACAAAGATAAGCCCGAGGATATTAATCTTACATTACCTGGTTGGGGAGCTTGGGGTGGAAAAGGTGTAAAGCCACAAAAACGTAAAAAGAATCGGTTTATTCTCAAAGCCCCACCTAAAATGCCACGTCGAGATGAAAACAAGGGGGACATTATAATCAAGGAGTTTAAGGACCCTAAGCTTGCAGTACATAAAGTCAAAGATGTACCTTTCCCATTCGAAAGTGTTAAGGACTATGAGGCATCAATAAGAGCACCTCTGGGAAATACATTTATACCTGAAAAGGCACATAAGAAGCTGATTCGTCCTAGTATCATTACTAAAGCAGGCAAGATCATTGAACCCATGGATGAAGAAGAATTATTGGTGCCTAAAAATCGTAATTTTAAGAACCAAAGTGTTATTAAGCTGTTAGGAAGAAAGAAATAAACTGACTTTACTTTTAAATGTAGATTTTATTTAATAAACTTATATTAATCTTAAATTACACTCCAACCCTCACGGGAGGAGACACGAGTATGACTCCGTCACCTCTAACGAATAACATGGGAATGTTTCTCTTAGTTGTTCTATAAACTTCTTCATATGTTTCTCATCAATTTCAACAGTTGTTATTGTCTCTTCTGCATCACCAAGTACCATATTCAAATGCTGGTCATAAGCCTGTAATTAAAAATAATAGTTTAAAATAATGACCTGATTTACTATTTGAATTGGGATGATAAAATATAAATACAAGATGTGGGTCAAGTCTGGACTCCTGGCTGGCCACGGTGGTCGACATCTTCCGATTCACTTATTGGGATATTTAATCTCTGACACTCCTTCTAAAGCGTGTGGGGCAACAATTGTGTTGAAACCACATGTCATGAATGAGGTTTAATTGTGTATTGTCGAGCAAATCAGATCATAGTTTGTTTGGGCTTCTTCTGATTCAAGATTTTTCAGAAAATTCTTACTCTACCCTAGCATGTTATACTTTAAAGCTCTAAAATCGCAAATATTGTATCAAACATCTGTCATAGACTTTTTAAAAATATCTTACTATGAAAACAAAACCTTATCACATTATTTCTGTTTTAAAAATCCTTCATCTACTATGCCTCTGTTGGTCAAATCACTTGCAGTTGAATGGTTTCAAGTAATAAAGCAACTAACAAAATTTAGTAATGGAATTTTAGTAATTCCAAGACCGATATTTAGAGAACAGTTAAGCTTAGGATATGGGGTTTCTCTCTCTCTTACAAGGATTTAGGTCGACTTAACCTGTAACCCCATATATACATATATAAAAATAGTAGTAGTATAGTATGTAATGCCTTAGCAAACAAACTCAAACTCTTTATTTGCATGTTAAGGTAATACATACAGGTCTTATGGAATAACAGGCACAACTTAACGGCCTTTTTCAGGCGTTGCAAATTTTAGGGGTGTCACCAGCTTACTATGAATTACATTAGCAGTTAACTTACATGTAATTTTCCTCTTAACTCTCGCTCATTTCGCATTTTAACGTATATCCTCTCATCCAAGCTTAGTCTAATGAGGTCCAGAGGCTCCTTTACTGTCATTACAGATACCTGAAATTAAGTAAAATGGATAAGTGATAACCAAGTTAGGCTTGAATACGGCAGCGATAAATAGCTTAAATAACATGAGAAGATCCAAAAAAGAAAATTTCAAAGGAAATACGGACATGTAAATAAATAACAACAGGGTAGGTAAGTCAATAATTTACCACTTACATTTTCACCATCATCAGCCATGGTCACTGTTTAGTTTAGAAAACTGAACGACGTTAGACAAGTTGATACTTAATTCTGATTTTGTAAACCGTACCGTAGACTAAGCTATTATTTTAGTAAACTTATACACTCTGGCCTGGAAGAGGCGGCGTTTCTGATTTTGAGGTTATTTCATTTGACAATGACAAGAATGAGTTATTTGGTTTTGATTGGTCGACTTTGCGCGGCGTCGACCTAATAGGGTTGCCAGTTGCCAGACGAGACATCGAAGAACTTGTCGTTAGTGATGTCCAATAGTATTATTATTCATTGTTCTCGAGATGTAATAGTATTTCGTAAAATTATTTAGTATGCTTATTTACATAAAGTACAGCTTAAATAAGACGTTCATAACGGAAACCTTAATCGACAAAAACTCCTAATAAATTATTTGAATCGAAAATTTAGGACAACACTATATTTGTCAAACAAGAACAACATCGCGTCAACGTGTGTGTCATGGTTTTTATTTTACGCTTTGATGAAAATCTAGTAATGTGTTTATAAGAAAAAACTTTATAACATAGCTTATATCGTTAATAATATTAGTTTAATATAATGGTGAGAAGTGGGTAAGTGTATGAATTGGTTTACTGATGGTTTGTGTACTTCGAAGTTGTTGTTGTAAGTTCATTCATTATTTGACATCATTTAATGTTTACAGGCGTGATCGTGATAGAGACCGCGATCGAAGGCGGTCTCACAGCCGATCGGCAACGCCTGATCGTAAGAGGAGGCGGTCCAGGTCTAGATCTAGAGACAGAACTTCTAAATCGACGAAGAGTAGAAAGCGTAGTCGTAGCAGGGAAAGGGAGTCCAAGAGAGAACGTAGTAGGGACCGTAGCAGGGAACGCGAGCGTGATAGGGATCGTGATCGTGACAGAGATCGTGACAGGGATCGTGACAGAAAGAGGTAAGTGTTAACATAAGCATTTCTGTGTTAATAACAACTGGCTTGTGTTTATGGTTTGATACTAGTTCAATAATGGAGTTTGGTTAGTATGCAATATGATAAACCTTAATATATCAATACGATAAGTCTTAATTATATTATATTATATATAATATTGAGATAAACCTTAATAATATATCAATATTAAGGTTTATTATATTGCATTTCCCAATATTTCATTTGGGTTAGTGTAGGAAATTAAACCTCTTAAACACCATTATCTGCTTCAGTTGCCAAACAGTCGAGCGATTGAGATGCCAATGACAAGGACAACGAAAGTTGTATCAATCTCTAAGTACATATGTACTTACTTACATATGTACTGAGAGATTTATACTACACATAGTTACTTGCCAAAATGCATTTCATCTATTATTTTAACTAGCTTTGTGCTAAGTGATTTTATGTAAGGCATGTAAAAGGTTAAAGGTGTGTGATTGTGAATTGTTATGATATAATTGGTTTATTCAAGAAATAAAAAATATTTTAGAGAAATCATATTTATTTGCTTTAACCTATGATAATCACCTTGTAAGGTTTAAGGTTTATAATTGGCAAAATATGGCTGTTTCTGTATTTTTAATTATGCACCACCATGACATGTACCCATATTTGTAAAATAAAATATCTTAATTTATCTTAAGGTGTTTTTATTTGAAAATCAATGTTTTGTTTTAGTGATAAGCGTGATGACAAGAGGAATGGATCAGGAAAGTCCTCAAGGAAGAAATCACCAGATAAAGAGAAGGAAAGATCCAAGTCTAAAGAGAAAGCGGTCAAAACTGAATCCGAGTATGATCCAGGAACAGTAGATAAGGTAAGATGAATAAAATTTCCTCTTAGCCCATAGATCCCCAAGCGGTCACCGGTGACCACTCTTCACTAATATTACATTACATTATAGACCTTATTTCCAATGTTTAGAGACTACTTTTGTATGACCAAATTTAAGGGATGGATTTCAACGGGTTAGTGCAGAAGTGGGGCAACCTGCTATTATGTAACAAATACTATATAGTTAGACACAGATAAGACTTAAGCGTCCAAGGCAATTGCTTCATAGACGGCACAATTTTTTTTTTCTTGGCTGTCACTATTGGCTCGCGGCGCCATGGCGCTCTTTTGTAACCTGTGCTCTAGGCACTTGTCTAGTCTGCCTTAGGGATATATGGCTCTGCTAGCTAGCATCAGATAGCTAATTTATTATTTGTGTCATCAAACTATTGTTGGCTGTAGGATTCTGTGTATGTAAAAATTGTGTTTGTGAAAACATCCATAAAACAGAAAAATATATGTTAATAAAAAAAACTTGCTTACCTTGGAAATATGTTAATCGTCTTGTTTAGCATTTACTTGGCTAATTAGAAGCTTGCTTTCCAGGAAGAAGAGCAAAGTCGTTTGGAAGCTGAAATGCAGAAGCGACGAGATCGTATCGAACGCTGGCGTGCTGAAAGAAAACGTAAAGAATTGGAGTCTGCTAAAAAAGAAGTCCAGAAAGGCAGTATTGTAAGCAATATACAAGTACCAGCAAGCAAGAAATGGTCACTAGAAGATGATTCTGGCGATGAGGGTATGTTTTATATCTAAAAAAATGAAATAGCTTACCAGCTTGACTGGTTATCTATTTCGTTTAGTGTATTTCTAGTGATACCTGTTTTATCATGTGATTGAATGTCTGAATCTCCAATCTCTGAATCCTCAACAACCCTCTAATTCCTAATCCCAAAAGGCCGGTAATATACTTGTAATGCCTCTGGTTTCAAAGGGCGATGCCGATTCCTTACCATCAGGTGACCCATTTCGTTTACCGGCTTACCACATAATCTTAAATGTCTTTTAATTACCAATAAGGGTACTTTACTTTTTAAACTTAATTTACAAGAAAGGTTCATATATCTCTTTATGTCTTTGGGCATACACACATCCTTCAACTGCGGTTCATTTTTCTTAAAACAAAAGTAGGCGCTTTCTGTGGCAACTGTCAAGGTCCCAGGGTCTGGCAAATCTCGTCCTCTTACCTTCTGTTTTCTGTTTATTTCTGCATACCATTATGAAATATGTGGGTCTTATTGCATGGAATAAAATATTAATTTTCTTGTTTTGTCATTAGGTGAAGATCCAGGTGCGGAAACCAAAGAGAAACCAGTGGTGGATGAGAAGAAAGTGGAGGAAGAAGAAGATGAAATAGATCCACTGGATGCTTACATGCAGGAGGTGCAACAGGTCAGAATACTTTCATACTATTATGATAAATCATGACATGCTATATGTCTATATTTCATTTATTTATTCATTTAATAATTTACATCGTGTCTGTAATTTATAATAGGTAAGATAATAGACATGCGAAATTAAAAGCACATAATGTCACACAGTTTCACACTACTACAATTATTTGTAATACACATACTGCCTCGTTGGTCGAGTGGTCACAAGTGCGACCGCGGGCAAGGGGTCTCGAGTTTGATAGGTTCGGACAAAGTATTACTGAGCTTAAAAAAATTCTCAGTAGTAGCGCGGTGTCTGGAATTGCGCCTTGTAAAAAGTCCATGTAATAGATTCATAACATAAATAGCGACAAGTGGGTGTTACATTGTACAGTGGCATTAAGTGTCGTACATGTGCGTTGTTTGCATCGTGCACTTTGCCTACCCCTTCGGGGATAAAAGGCGTGATATTATGTTTTATTATTC